CACAGATACTGTACTAAATATAGATACTAAAGAAATCATTTTACTACAAAAACTCTATCCATGCCAATTTATCAGCAAATTGCTACCCACCTGATGTTAACAACTTTACTACATTACCACAACCACTGCTGACACAGCATACCGATACACTGCACCTCCCTCCCATTTCCAGTACCTTCCAGTCTGTAAATTGAACCCAAAAAGCAGTTCCAGCTTCCTTTCACCATAGAACCATGTAGCATCCTCCAATTCCTATCAAGAAACTGAAAAACTGATTCAGAATCTGTGGAAGTGCAGTCACATTGAAGGTTCATTGCTGCCTGTCCACAGCCAGCATATACTGTCTACAAATCATACAACCATAGAACAGTTAGGGTTGGGAAGGACCTTAAAAATAACCAAACATAATTTTCCCTAGAAAAACATTTGGGTTAAATAATGTGACAGTAACCCAAAAACGCTGTCACCACTTTTCAAACCCAAACAAACCACTGCAGATTCTGCAGTAAACCTCAGTAGTTCCAATGCATTTTCCAACTTCTGTTAAAATGCATTGGCATTACTTCGTACTCTTTCATCAGAGCAAAATGTGTGTACTGACACAGTGTGCTTCAGTTGTGTAAATACCAAGGGAGATTCTAACACTCAACAAAGACACTATGGCAGAAATGCCCTAAGGTCCTGTGAGCTGAGCCATTCATTTTCTGATTTCCTACCCTATTAGGTAATTCCCCCTGCCCATTTACAAGTCATTTAAACCCAACTTTTCTTTGTTCTTTCCTCCCTCCCTCCATTTTTAAGCCAGAACCCTCTCTGCACAGCACTGCTCTTAGCAGCTGAGAAGAGGCTGCCTCCCAGGATTTTTCTTCATGAAGAATTCATGCCACTGCACTGGCACTTTGCATCAGAAGCTATTAAGATCTTTTCCTCTGGGACTACAAACCCTTGGCTGGCCAGACACAGCTCCTCCATTTAAGAGGGCCCTGAGTCAGCAATTTTGGCCAGGCTCTGAAGCACTGTTAAACACTTCCTTAACTGTTTAAAAAGTTCCTGAATTCCTGAAAGAATTCCATATTCTCAAGCTAATTTCCTTCAGAAAGCAGCAAAATTCCTTAAGAAAAGACTCCTGTTGTTTTTTTTGTGTGTCTGTTCTTTTGGATAGAATTACGTTTCCAGCACTTGCAAGTTTATGAAGAGTTTCTGAATGGCTTTGCTCTAAAAGAATGCAATAGAATAAAATCTTTGTCTTCCTAAAAAATATACATTATTTTGGCCATGTCTAGTGCAAACCCTTTAGCAGACCTGAAGATCTCTGAGTCTTATGTGTCACAGGAGCAAAACCAAGCACACTGTAGCCCAGAAATAAGTAGGAGGAAATACACCCATATACAGCATGGAGATTAAGAACTACATAGTCATTTGATCTTTCCTATCGACTTCCACAATTTGTAATCCAGTGGCATAACCCAGCACTGACACAGCTATTTAGACTGCTTCTTTCTATGCCACTTGCAGCATATCTGCAATTACTCAGAAATAAAACATTCAAATGCATTTAAGGGTGATAGTAGTGAGATCACATTTTATAGCATATCCATTAATGGCAAGACTCAAAGAAGAGCAAGTGCAAGTAAACAGATGGAACCTCTGATTAAAATGACGTAATCTGTCAAGAGGAAGGTAAGAATGGAAAGTTCCCATTCTGAGATACTGCTAAACCACAATTAAAACCTGCAGGTTACAATGATCCTTTTACTATTTGGTTAAAGTATTGGCCAAAGCATAGCACGTGCATTACTGCAAGCAATAAATACCAACCCTACCAAACATTAACCTTTATTATTAGTGACTAATGATAATAAAGGTATACGTATACACTGCACCCTTGCTATTTCCCGAATTGGAAGTTGAAAATTACTTTTTATGATTTAATTGGTAAATAGCATTTGGAAAGGTTCAAATTACACTGTTTAGACAGGACCAGCCCTCAGAGTGTTTGTTTCTGTAGCCCATTGGAATTTGAACTCTTTCATCTCTTCATCTATGTGTATATTTGAGATGGAAGGAGTCTCTTCCCATTGCTGTAAAAATGCCATTTCTCTTACCTATGACAAAAAATAGCAGTAGAATATTTGAACTCAGTGTTTACTTTTTTCCTTCAGTGGCTGAGGAGAAGAATTGCTGGTAATATTGCAAATCCTTTAACAAGTTTATAGCATCCCAAGAAAATTAATCCCTAAAACAAAACTAATAATAAATGAAGTTACTTTTTCATTTTCATAAGGAAACACAGGCTAGTTATGGTGAAGTCACAGGCAGAGGTTTAAGACACCAATGTACAGATGGGAAGTCTCCAAATACACATTCTAGATAGACAAAAGAAACAGATTACCTGGACAAAAACTCAACATCCTTGCAATGTTGCCTTTACTGTATCTGAGGAAATGAAGTAAGAGTATAGATCTGATTGGGGTCAGTGAGGGGGGAAGACACCTGAAAACATCACTGGACATGTAGAACATGCACCTGCACAAAGAATTTCAAAGATTACCTACACTACATCTAAAACAAAATCTTGAGCAAAACATTTCTTAATGGAGAATTAAATATGACAAACTCCATTATATTTTTATCAAAATTATGTCAGTTTTTCTCTTTTTTTTTTTTGTGTCTGGAAATTCCAGGAAAAAGATGATGTGAGAGGGATGCCTACTTCATTTTGTGGAACAAGGTTTGCCTCATAGTATGATTCCCCCCCCTTCTTTTTTCTTTTCACATTAGCTATTTCCATAGTCCCTGTGGCATTTCAGGGAAAAAAACCAATTTCATAATTATCAGCTATACAGAAGTACCTTACATAATATCTGATCCCAAATGAAGCAACTGCAGTTGATGGGTACAAAAAATGTTAGTTTAATTCTACACTGCAATTGCAATGAAAAATAATTTGAAGTCCCTGTAAGATACAGGGAAGGAAGTTGTTGATACCTGGCTACTCACATGCATGTAGTAAGACTGATTTTAACACTCTTTATTCTCTTTACCTGTAGGAAAAAAAACCCAATTTGTCCACCCATCATTCAGGTGGTAATGTTGGAACAAGAAGTTAGTTAAGAGGGAAGAGCTTCTCTTGAGGCTCAAACCTAATTCAGTGGGAATTAAAAACAATGAAACCAAAACAAAACGAAAACCACACACATACAGAGACACGCACACAAACAAACCAAAACCCACACACACAGAGGAAAAAGACGGTGATTTAAAAAAATGTAAAAAATACAGCTTTGGTTTTGTTTTCAGTCCTGAAATTACTTTCCAATCTGGTCTGAAGAAGGACATCCAGTGCCCAGAGCCTGGCTCAAGCATGGCGAACATAACCCCACATACATCAGTTCCACCTTTTCTTAGAGTCCGTGTTTAGTCACAGATTTACATTTACATTACAAGAGACTGGAATTCCTGCCCATCAAGCCTGCATGCTTAAACAAAAGGTTAAAAAAAATAAATAAATAACGCCAATTGTCAAATCTTGCCAGTGATGTGAAGGGTTAGCTGATGTACAGCGGGGTTAGGGTTAAGCCACTTGCTTAACAATGTTAGTGCTTACTCGTGCGTATTCAACAAATACATGCTCAACACTTAAGGTGCTTGCTGGAACAGGGTGGGAGGACCAAGGCTATTGGTAGGAGGAAGGAACAGTAACTCGGTTCCTGCTCTCTGGACCCCTAAACTGACTGAGATCAGCTTTGCTGTTTGGACAGTGACTAAATCACCAGGGAACACGCACAATGACTAGAGATGAAAAGTTCAGGGAAGACTCGTTTACTTCATCTTGAGACCCCGCTCAAGACCCCCAGGAGACCCTATGCAAGCAAGAACCTTTACCTCATTATAATAAAAAGCGGGGATAGGGCATGAATATGTGTGTGTTGCATAATCTAATGCATATGTGAATAGTTTAGAGGATAAATATAGAGAACAACGCCGGGGCGCGTATGCTTTTGGAGGAGCTATCCCCCATGCACCTCAGCACTGAATAAAGCATACCTACTTTACAACTTTAACAAGTTGTGGAGTCTATTCCCATATCACCAGGATACTGCTGTTGATACAGCAGTAAGGTCCAACCACATGGCCTTATTTCCAGTCCTGTACTGCTACTGTTCAGGAGGCATTATCTTAACAAGATAAACCTGTATTTAACACCAGCAGCTAATACCAGTGTATCTTTTACTGTTAACAGCAGATATTGGAAGAAAAAAACAAAAGTCAAGTCAAGTCAGCTGCAGTTAGATCAGGTTGATCAGGACTTACTGGTTTGGAACAGGGAAGGAGCTGTGGAGCTGTGCTGCCAAAAACAACAAAGTGAAACATGATTAAGGTGTGTTTTTTGCAAGTATTTTAGGAATGACTAGCCGGAATGAAAGGTGGTACCGTGGTTTCAGCATTCAGGGTAGCAACACATTTTTGCAGGCTACACAGCTGTAGAGAAAGAGAGAGAATGGCACTTTTTAGTAAAGGAGGACTTTTAAACATTTACAAAAATGAAAAATTAATTGGAACAGCAAGTGAAGGGAACACAAGCTGTGCACTCAGCTGCCTCCAGGTTAATGAAAAACAAAGGAAAAAATCTCTGCTTACACTTCTCTACCTTCTCAAAATAGAAACATCAACTGTTTTACAGCTAACATCTGGACTGATGTTTTTAATGCACCCATAATGTGACAACTTCTTCAAGGTTATCTTTCAGAGGCATTTCTAAGTTAGAAATTGATTGATATAAAATCATCAAAATAGACTCTTCAAATTATGGCTCACTCTCACTATGCAATATACCACTTAGGTACTGGACAAACATTCTCAGTAATGGAACAAAGACTTTTTTCTTTTTTTCAAAGATAAACTAACTGCAGTCTTGGCTTACCTGTGGTTCCTATCTTAAAGCCTCTTGGCTGAGAATGGGTTTAATGATTACCTTTTATAACCTCTGTACTTAAGCCACTGCTGCTTCTGCATATTCTGGTTTCTGACATGAACATCTCTCACTCTCTTAAGTGGCTGCTAAATCTAACGGGAGAAATAAAGACAGACACTACACAGAGATTCCTGGGCCAAGTTAACACCAAGCAAACATAAATAAGAAAAGGTAAGTGAATGTATAACTGCTAAAAGATGACTGTTAAAACATTCAAATACATGACTTAAAGGAGAGAAATTGGGCACAAAGCTGTAATAAAATTCAGTGACCCAGGCCCCGCATTCCTTACTGGGGCAAATTTCTGTTCACGGTTTAATCTTAAGGGTTGGTTTCATTATGGATTCCTTTTGAAAATCTTTAATTCAAAACATAAACTGGATGTACTAACAGCTCAGATGTTTTTGAACACTGATACGGCGATAGGTGTTCTGAGATAATGTAGAAAGCTGTGGTTTCTGTAGTCAAGAATTTCTGTATACTAGATAAGCTGCCTAAACATGATGCATTCCTGAATTACTGTCTGTGTAACTGCAAAACGATCTTCAGCATTCAGATTCCATGAATTATATCTGTAGGTTCTCAGGGGAGAAGAGACTTTTGACCTAGACATCTTTTGATGAGACTCAATTTGAAAGCAATCTGTTTACATTCTAATTCTAAACAGAACAAAAAGTTCTGTAGGAGACATTCACTCTGAGTCGATACAGAGAAGACTGTAACTCTTTGAGGCAAAGAGCTGCTAATAAGACAATCAATCACAGCAAACACCTTTGATTTAGCAGGTATTTGCACGTACAAGGAAATGAGATAAGGCCTAAATTAACCAAGAAGGTGAGAGGAGGTGTCCTAGATAAGAAAACAGAATAGTTTTGGGGAGAAAGATTAAATCTGTCTGAACCTCTGGAAGAGTTCAAAGGAGGGAGTAGCTATAAAACCTAGATTGTTCCAGGAAGGACATCCTGTCACCTGAAGGTAACCTGAGCCAAAGACATCCACTGCTAGGTGGGTATGAGGAAAATCTACAGCAAGTAGGATGGATGAGATGAAGTAGATGCAACTATTATGCCTCCTGGATTTCATCTCTGAGAGGATAGCTGGGTGGAAGGCCTTCGCCTGGGAGAAAGTGTGTGCGCATGCATTGTATTTTCTGGCAATGCACACTTTAACACTCATATGCTAGACCAACATTTTGTTTGTATTTCCTTAGAGATTTCAGCAAGTAAACCAAATGGGTGAAGCAAGCTTGAAGAAAAGAAAGGGAGAAGACAACAAAAAAGAGGATGGACAGTCCATTCAGAGCCATGAGCCCCAAACGATGAGCCTACAAAAGGAGGTAAACCATTTTCTTTTCCCCTTTTGGTCTGTTGGTGTGTGAGGGCCTGGCAAAGGGAGGCTCTGTGCACAGTCATCAGCATGCAAAACCTGCAGCTGTGTCCCAGTTTAGCTGCGATGTGCTAGTATCTTTGCAGTGTAGGGGCCTTGCAGTTTAGGAAACTAATTACTAGTCAAATAGAATCAAAGAATGGTTTGGGTTGGAAAGAACCTTAAAGCTCATCTAGTTCCAACCTGTGGGTTGGGCACCTTCCACTAGACCAGGTTGCTCAAAGCTCTGTTAAAAACGCAAAAAATAAGAATATGTATTTTTTTAAGCCTTTGAATTATTTTGCTATCTGGTAACTGAAGCTGATCAAGTGAGACACTTCAGAAATTTTGCCTTTTCCTTCCACATGTATTTCTCAGAGGCTGAAGTGGGTTTTTCAGCTCATTGATTCTGGAAGTTTGCCACAGAATAGCCACTGGTACAGAAATACAGAAATACAAGTAAAAAGGTGTCTCCTCCACCAAATTACAGATGCCATAGAAATCAGATATGCCGCTTGCTCTCAGGAGGGAGCGTAATTCCTCTTCAAACTTGAAGTAACATGATTCTTTCACCACTTAGCAGCATCAAGTAAATTCCTGTGCACTAATACTGGAAGCTATGAAGTGAAATCAACTGCTGGAAAAACAAACCAACCAGCAAACAAACAAACAAAAAACCCAACTCCATCCAAGAAATCAGATTTTAGAAGCTTAGAGAATTCAGAATTCCTCAAGTGCTCATAAAAGAATTCCAGTGTTTAATCGAAGAGTGGAAAGGGGATGCTGACCTGTACAACATTAGATTTGAACCCCACACAAGTCAAAGCATGTATTAATACAGCAAATACATGCTCATGCAGAGTCCAAATAACTGGACTTGTGGGAACAGCAGGACTACACCACAGGGTGCGTATGCAAGGAAAAGAGAAACTTCATTTTCATGTATTACTTTTTAGAAGTTGCATATTGAAAGCTGAAAAAGGTAAGTCACTAATGACAATTACTATAACTGCATTATACCAAGAAGCAATTATTGAATTATCAGAAGTTATTTTACCAAAATGCCTCATTTTATTTTAAGGTTGGCCTCATCAGTGGAATCTGTATGATTGTTGGAACAATTATTGGCTCAGGCATCTTTGTTTCTCCAAAATCAGTACTTGCCAATGTGGGAGCTGTGGGTCCTTGTTTAACCATGTGGGCAGCCTGTGGAATTCTTGCAACCTTAGGTAAATGAGTCAACAAAGGAACTGAATCTTTGTATCTACTGTTACTGCATATTACTCTCATTTCACAAATTAGCCATTAGCATCTAGACCAAAGTAACATATCGTGGTAAGTGTCCCAGTACTCAGCAAAGAGAAATAAGGTATATGCTATTTATAAAAGATAAATTGAGATTTTTAAGACTGCAAAGCACATTTACAGTTCATTCTGAAAGCAAGTCTTAATTTTGCTTACTTCATCCAGCAACTAATAAAGACAGTATTTTGCTACTTAAATCACAGTGAGTGAAACACTCACCGGTCGTGAGCTAGGTACTTCTGCCATTTTCCTTCTTGTGAACTTAATTCTGAAAATATAGTGCCAAGCACCTCAAAATGAGCTTCAAAAAGATAACCAAAAAGGGAATTCCATGGGCACTCTGTCAGGTACACAGCAGAGAAAGATGCAAGATAAGAAGTATTACTCTACTCCAAAGCTTAGTTGACATTTTAATTTAAAACTGTGCAGCAAGTCTGTTTTTGCAAGTTTCCCAAAGGTAGGTCACTCAGTGCAGCTGTCACTTAGATGCTTCTTACTGTGTTGGTTTGTTAAGCAGAAATGTAATATAAAATCAGAATGTACTTTTTTTGTTGGGAGTCTGTAACAGCAACAGTAGTCAGTTCTGGTCTGTAACTTAATAGTTTCAGTGTGTTTTTTCCAGTTGCTCACAAGTAATTAAAATTTTATTTTGCATATAACATACTAAGTAAAATATACTAAAACATGAACAGAGTAGTGATGCATTGTATGTATCTATTTTCTCAACTTTTTTTACCTATTAAGAAGTGATAATCTGGTTTAGAAAGCGCGTGAACTAAGCTAGTAACTCTTTCCTTGTTACTCAGGTGCACTTTGCTTTGCTGAGCTCGGTACAATGATCACAAAATCTGGGGGAGAATACCCTTACCTTATGGAGGCCTTCGGCCCAATTCCAGCGTTTTTGTTTTCTTGGACAAGCTTACTGGTCACCAAACCCAGCTCATTTGCAATCATTTGTCTCAGCTTTGCGGAATACACATTAGCTCCTTTTTATCCCGGCTGTGATCCACCCCAAGTCGCCATCAAGTGTCTTGCAGCAGCTGCCATCGGTAAGATTTTAAGACGAGATACACCGGCGCCTGACTCAGAAAACTGGTTTTCCCCACAATTTTAAAAGTTATCCAAACATGGTTTGTTAAAACTCCCTCTATCAACAATAATAGACAAACAGCAGTATGGAAATGCAGTGAAGTAAGGCAGGGAGGGGAAAGGGGGAAGGATTTAAGAAGCAACTTTTAATTCTGACAAATTTAATACAGAAACTCATGAATATGTATTTCAGTGATAATTACAACAGTGAATTCACTGAGTGTGAAGCTGGGAAGCTATCTCCAGAATTTTCTCACGGCTGCTAAAATGATCATTGTCACAATCATTATTGTAAGTGGAATTGTTCTCCTTGCACAAGGTAATTAAACACACTACTTGCAAAAACTATTTTAACTTCTGCTATGACATTAAACAATTTCCCACTGACAGAGGTGGTGTAAAATAAACCTCTCTTTTCAGAGTTTTAGTTCCAGATCTCTTAAAACTATGGTATTTTCTTTTAGAGAAAGGCTGGGTGGGAAATGTAGCACTACAGATCAACTAATAAAAATTGGCATTAATTAAACTGTCAGAATGTTTCTTCACCTGGTGGGGATTAAAGGAATTAATTTCAATACTGACCAATAATCTATGTCTTATTTGCAGGAAAAACAGAAAATTTTAAAGATTCTTACAAGGACAGTTCAGTTTCTTTTGGATCTATTGGTTTGGCATTTTATAATGGACTCTGGGCATATGATGGATGGTAAAGTATCTTTACTTAACGGTTACAGTTTAACATCCTATAACTGGTTTACTCTCCCTCTGTACAACTCAGATGAGATCTGAAAAAGTTAACATCTGACTTGTTATTAAGAATCTCTTAATGAATTCTGGAAAAATAACAAAACCCCCAAACCCTCAAGTTCCTGTTTATAAGGGAAAGAAACTATACTAGATCCTAAAAGGAGCTGCTGCTTTGTTGCTGAAGTACTTAAGATACTGTGGTAACGAGAATATAAATATAATATAAATAACTAATACAAAGTTTAATGCCACTATGTTTGGCCAGATAGCCTTCCCAGAGCCCCTGCAGCTTCAAATTCCATTTCTTGTGAAATGTGGTGTCTGATTAGTACAGGAGGACATAAAAAAAGGTCAGAATTCATAAGGTTCAACTTCCAATTCTTTTTTTTTCTTATTTTCATTTGGAATTAATGTAAAAAAATCAAGTCTTCTTCCCTGAGACACTTTCAATTTTATTCTCCGCATCTGTTTATCTGTTATCTACCATACTAGATTTAAGAAGACACATTCAGAAATACTCACATATATGGATGAACTTAGGTTTACATTTATGCTCTACATAAGGCATTTATATTTAGTACCCAGAAGAGTGCTTTTCAGAATTATTTCCACAGGGATAAACTTACTGGCAGGAATATTTAATCTCTACCACAATCCAGAAAACAATTTACACATTTCACTTCCTGCAACTAAAGGGAATGTCAGTTGGTCGCAGACTCTGCTGGCATAAATCTAGTATCATGATCTGATCCATTAATACTATTCTTAAATGTTCAAACTGTAAAGGCTTGCAATCAGATCTGTATTTTGGAAGGCGGTGAGAACATAACTGTTAACTTCCAGCAAAGCAAGTCCAACGTAGATGCTTTATACTGAATTTATTTTTAAAGGGATCACTCTTTCAGGTTCTATTCCCAACTCAGGCATTCAAGTCTGCTAATTCAGAAATTCACCTGTTTTAAGGCAACAGTGCAGCTGGTGCCTAACTAATTATTTCAGTATATATAACTACCAGGCACTGATGTTTGAAGATTGATCTCTTGAATTGTAAATACCAACTCCTCACACTTTCAGAAGTGGACATGTAAAAATCTTGTTTTAATGTGGCCCACACACTCAAGGAAAATGAGTATTTTGAAATTACAATTCTGACTGGTGTAATCCTTAAAAAGGTTTTCACTCATTTTCTAGACAACATGACTCACTTCAGTCCTTGTGATGGGTATGCTTGTGCTTTCATTTGAAGAGACTCAGATATTGCAAAGCTTCAGGCTCAAAGGCAGTCCTGTAATTTGAGATAATGTCTGCCAAATTTCTATTTTGTTCTTCTGGGATTATTTTATCCAAGAACTAAGACAATCTCATTTCAAACTCTCAAGAGACACTTGTAAAACTGTGAGGAGGAAAAGCTAATGGAGGGAAAGATGGCGAATCAAGAGGATGACATTTGGATAAGAAGCTCACATAGGTTTGTGTCCTGCAGTTTTACCACTAAAAAAAACCCCACCACATTAAACAAACAAAACAAAAGAAAAAAAAAAAAACAACCCAAAACACAAATCCTTCTAACTGCAAAGATAAAAACCAATAGCACAAGTAACGCCAGACTTCATAATGTATTAGCATTTCAACACCTGACTGCTAATAACATTGTATGAATGCTTCTCCTTCCAGGAATCAACTCAATTACATCACAGAAGAACTTAAAAATCCTTACAGGTAAAACCATGTAGGAAAGCAGTGTTTCTAATGACAAAAACTGAACACTATTATTTCTGTACAAGCAGGCATATATTTTGCCTTGTTTTTTAAAGCAACGGTTATTCAGTTTGAGCACTTAATAGACAAAGCTTCATAAGTTTGTAATTTTTTTTTTTTTTTTAAAGTCCTGATTTCCGTGGCTCTACAATAAGGAAATGTAAATACACCTAAAGAGCATATGGGGGAAAGTAAGATCCCACAGTTTACTATGACAACTCTACCAGTGATACAGCAATGCTGATGGAGTCTTACTTTTGCATCCTTTAGAAATCTACCGCTATCTATAATTATTGGAATCCCCTTGGTTACAGTTTGTTACGTTCTGATAAACATTTCATATTTCACCGTAATGACTTCAACAGAACTCCTGCAGTCCCGGGCAGTTGCTGTGGTAAGCCATTTTATTTTGTAATAGAGCATCTGGAGAAGGCTGTGTGCATTAAAGTCATGAGCAAAAAAGGAACCTGTAATTTTTCTTTAGGATACAGTCAATTTCTAAGCTGTCAGTGTCCTCTTTAACCCCACCATCCACTGTCATTTCTTAATCTAAGAGTTATTTCAGTGATGCTTGCAAGAGTAGTTATGTCATATCCGAAGGAAAAAAAACAGAAGGAAGCAGAAGTAATGCAGTCTGCAGCTAACATTTTGTGAGCACTGCAGCTCCGAGGTTGATTATCTTCCATAAGCACCAGAAAACGGAAGGAAAAATAACACATGGCTGCTGCTTTGCCTTTTTCAGTGTTTTCAGTATTTCTGAGAAAAAAGCACATGCAAAAACGCCAGATCAAAGTTTGTCATGCTGGAGATGGCAGCAAGGAGTCCATAATTCACTTCTTCATTTTTTTTTCTTAACAAAGCGAAGAATTACCCTTTTTGTATTACTACAAGACTATTACAGATAAAATTAAAGATGATAGAGATTTCTAAAATCTTAACAGGTGTATTTGTCCCTGCAGTTCCACTCAGTGAATTTTCTGTGGGACATGGTTCTCACCTGTTGAGATCATGCAGCAACTTTTCCTAGTATTAGTTTTTGGGGAAAACAAACAGTATGTCCCATGCATGCCAAATGCAGTGCAGCACACTGAAGTACATGAACTTAGAAATCCTGAAGTATGTTAAAAAAAAAAAAAAAGTTACAATGTTAAAAGAAGTTATTAAAATTCAGAACTTTGGTGCATTTCAACATCTTGCTTGCATCAAGAGGTACAGCAGTATATCCATTGACTTAAAGGACTTCAACGTAACACGAAATTTACAATCTAAACACCACACATCAGCTAGCACTGAACTTGTCAGACTAACAAGAAAATCAGAACTGCCACTGAGCAGCAGAAAGGCAAACAGCACGAGTGCACAGTATAATCAGGTCTGCACATCTGAAAGTAGACTTTTGCTTGGCACTGGTGTGTCCTACCACTGGACAAAGAAATACTGATGTTACTCTTAATGCTTGCCCTGCTATAAAAGGTTAACCACCCTCAACTAAACCCCCAAAACCTTTCAAAAGTTTGATTTCAAATGCATTTACAGTACTTATATTAGCTCTACTCCATCCTGAAGTAGAAGCCCACATACCATGGCACAGGTAAAAACTGAAGGGTGCTGAGAGACCATTGCCTTTCACTGGTGCACCCACAAGGCCCAGGCTGTCATGCTGCTGCTGCCAGTGTTAACTCCTTCCACACAGGTTGAAAGAGCTCATGCATGTGTGGCAATCTTCCTGTTCTGCAGGCATTCCCAAATCAAGTGTCTTGAACAGAATGTGTGTTTATTTTTTACATGTCTCCCAGTGTTTCCTACAGATGATGCATCTCAAACACCACAATACTCCACTCTATAGAGTGGCTCATGACTTAATCCAGGTTTTCAACTGGCAAAAAAATTTTTAGTAACCATACAAAATATACAACTGATGTTTTTAATGGTGACATACTTTAGATACTCGTTTACTGTACTTTTGAAGAGGCTCCAACATTACTCAATATACCAAATGGTAAACTGAAATGACAAAAATGATTAATTTTAATTCCATATCCCAGACATTCGGAAACAGAGTCCTTTATCCAGCCTCTTGGATAGTTCCTCTCTTTGTGGCCTTTTCTACAATTGGATCTGCCAATGGGACCTGTTTTACTGCAGGCAGGTAAGCTCTCATCCCAAATACTTTAAAGTGAGAATTTTTGAAGGATGGAAAGAATTCTATATATGTATGTATCTACATACAAAGATACAGGCATTCTTTTGATCCGTATGTAAAACATGTAATTAAAAATTACCCGCAAATCCAACTATATTGTTTGATTTTCAAAAAGAAACTGGCTATGGAGGTTTAGAAAATAAGAAAGTAAGGTCCCTTATTGCTTCTATTAATGCTTCCGTTTAATGTTTAATAAATATTTTAAATCTCAAACACAGCTGAATAACAGAGGGCTGTAAAGACCATTTTTTTTGACAGGTTGTCAATACAGCTTTTTGATATAAAGCAAATTAAAAAATTAAATATTTAAAGGGACACAGTAGCTAACACTTTTTTTTTTTTCCAAAATAATTTTGATGTGCAAATTAATGATTCTGAAACTAGTTTGAAGTTCACTAATTTAATACTGTTTCTGAACTGGTTTCAAATTCACTGCTTTGTTTCACCAGTAATACTGGCTACTTCCCTTATTCCAGCCTGTAACATATTTTAGATTCCATTGCGTATCAAGGGAAATATCAGTATTTATAGTTGGGTGTAGTCACACAATAAAACATACCTCAAAGTGAGTGTACTCTTTTTTTTCCAGGAAGGTGTTGAAAGTCTAGGTGCTACACTAACTAGATTCCCTGGTTTTTGTTTTGTCAGACTTGTTTATGTTGCAGGTCGTGAAGGGCACATGCTAAAGTTGCTATCTTACATTAGTGTCAAGCGTTTAACACCAGCCCCCGCTATCATATTTTATGTAAGTATATATTTCTTATGTACAGAAAACAAAAATTTCTAGGAATACACACTTCCACAATTTCTTACCTGCAGTCTTGACATTTATCTTTGACTAACCAGACAAGAAAATTACTAAACATATATTAGAACAAAACCCCACTATATATCCACCCCCAACTTCTTAATTTTAACAGTTTCATTGGAGAACTGGATTTTAAAGTAAAAATGTTTAAGAATCCACAGCATGAAAACAAATTAAGAAATTAAATTATTACTATTAGGCAGTATTAACTTCACAGGATGCTAAAAGCAAGCTATTCCCACTGTATTTCCTCCCTGTAAGAATGCATTTACATCTCACAAACATATACTCAATACATTTTAAAATAAATCTAGAATATCTTTTTATTTTACCCATTTATTTTCAAAGTAAACCAAGATAAATTGAAAATTCAATTGCTCTGTTGACTCCCAGTAACCTTAATAACCTAAAAATGTATTTAGCACTTCACTTAAAGATACACAGTCAACAGCAGAACAGAGTAATGCATTCAAATTTAAGTCTTGATATAAAATGTAATTAAGATTGCACACAAAAATAAATACTATTATGTTAGCAGGATGTGGACACTATCTTTAAAGGTGCTGCAATACACTTATACTCAAATGTTTAAGGAAAAGCATTCACAGATCATCACCCATACTGACACAAGTAAAATTCAGCCTTCTTTTATAATAGACTATATTAATATTTCTTTTCATTTTTAGGGGATCATTGCTATTATTTATATTATCCCCGGTGACATTGAAACACTCATAAATTACTGCAGTTTTGCAATATGGATATTTTATGGTTTAACTGTCCTTGGACTCATTGTTATGAGGTTTACAAGAAAGGACCTCAACAGACCAGTCAAGGTAAGTTCAGCATTCAAAATGATTTTTCCTCCATTCCCAGAAATAATGAAGCACGACCCCATCCTAAATATCTGCATATTTTACAACATCCTTTTGCCAGGTTTTCAGGAATGGGAATCTATTAGCAGAATACCATGGGAAGAGTACCCAGATTAAGACCCCAGGTCATTTCAGTCGCGTCAGGGCAAATTTTTACACTTCTGTTTCCCATTTAGGCAAAGAGATCTTGGTCAACGATATAGGAGAAGAGTTTTCCCTATCATTCTTCTTGCTACTCTACTGCCCTGTTTGATGCTAGAAATTTGGAAAGGAAAACATGCATAAGGCAATGAAATTATTTTTCTTCCATACATGCAACTTTAATAACAGCAAAAGAACAAGTAATTTTGTGCTTTGTATCTTGCAGATACCTACCATCATTCCAGTTGCAGTGACATTAGCCTCCATTTTACTGATACTGGCACCAGTCATCAGTGCACCTGAACTGGCCTATTTGTACTGTGTTTTATTTATAGGTAGTGGACTTATAGTTTATGTACTTTTTGTTTACTTTAAATTCAACTGGCCCCAAAAAATATCAAGTAAGTATAATTCACATAGCCATCTCCAAGTTCAAAACAGTACTTGTGAGCTTTTGATTAACTGCTGTAATTGATTAACTGCTCATTAAATAAGCCATCCCATCTGAATCATGCGTGGGGTGTGGAAAGGAGGGTGTATTTTACTCCTTCCTGTGAAAAAAAAGTGGTCTGACTTCAAGAAAAATGAAACTCCATTTACAAAAAAGAAATACATATCTTTAGTAGCATGAAGAAACTGACCTAAAAGGAACAGAAGTATTTTATCTGTAAAGTTAGTTCAACTCTCCATATTTTGAAACATTGGATTTAGCCATTAACTAAGGATTAGCAGACATTCATTCTCATGCCACAAAAGACCACTTTGAGCTCAAGTTAGCAATTTCACTATACTCAAGAAAATGTTAACAACATTTAAGACCAAAATTAACGACAGTGCTGCTGAGTAAAGTGAAACCTGCAAGAACCCAGTGTGACCATTTATAAAATGGTTTTGTGTAATCTCAGGAGAAACTCTTTGCAATTATCTATGGAAAACCAGGACACACATATACTTTTGAGAGGGAAAGGGGAACCAGCTTAAAAGGGCAGAATTAGTAGTTCTAAAGACGCAAAAAATATCCACCCCTGTCTCTCCTGCCCCCCCATTATGAAATATAATTATACAATCAGAAGCACTGTACCCTAATGCAAAGTCTAGAAATCCTACAATGTTGTATCTTGAATCTGGTTTTTATTCCACACCCCCTATATTTTGAGATATCAATACAGCAAACACAGACAACTACTCACAATGATCATTTTTTCAGGAAACTTTCTTCGGAAAATAGTACAAGTCTGAATAGAAATACTGTTCTCATAAGCCTCTAACAGTAACTTTTCTCCCCTCAGAGCCCATCACTATGCACCTTCAGATGCTTCTGGAAGTTGCTCCAGCAGAGGAAGTTACTGAATAGTGTATTTTTTATGTTGTTTTTGAGTGGTTAAAGGAGATTCACTTGAGTTTTGCACACATTTATACTTTCTAAAATTGTGTTCATACTGGTGTATTGTTTTTGCAACACTTTAGTACTTGAAAAATGTTAAATATGCAAGAATAAAAGATTTCTGAGCCAGATTACAATGTCCAGCAGAGCTGTTTCCGTTTTTCACAAGTATGTTATGGTATCTTGTTTTCTGCACTGACATTACTCAAAATAAACAAGGGGAACTTCTCAATTATGAAGATGGCAACTTACCAGCAGCATTGCCAAGATGCTTTTGGTCACACTGAAATCAGCATCACATTCAACAGACCACAGAGGAAGGACAGAAGTACCATAAACCAAGGCTAACTGTTTTCAGTTTTCTCAGACCAAACACCAGCTATCAAAAAACTGAAGACGGAAGAAGTGAGAATCAAATGAAAATGGGAAGCAGAGTTGACAGGAAGAGGCTGATTTTTTTAATTAAAACAATTACTGTCAGCATCATGACTTTACAAAGGTAACTTCACCATCCTAGAAACACTATTTGGTACCTGATGAAAAAAATACAAAAATGGTACTACATTAACATACAGATTTAAGCAGCTTTTGCTTCCCCTGCGGAGAAAAGTATAGACAGATTCTAGGTCATATTGCTCCTATATTCACTCTGTGCAAATGGATAAAGAAAGGAATTTTATCAAGTCACTTATCAGTATTTTGATGTAATTAAATTTGAGAAAGACTTCATACTGAAAGCACAAGTCTCTTCAACAATGTCTAAGGACCATCATCCTATTAAGGAACAAGTCAAAGAAAAATATCCAGCCCCATCACTCTGTTTTTCAATTAGGTGATTTGAGAGTCTTCTGTTTGTACCCCAACACAGAGCAAGACCAAAACACAGTTACATTAGATATTTCCCTAAGTTCTTCTACAACAATTATAGCTTTCCAAGTACCTGTATGCAGGTGAAGGTTTTAATTAAGCTCAGTAGTCACCAGGTTCCTCCAACAGCACTTTTTTTTTTTTTTTAAAGCATACATTAACAACTTTTTGTATCACATGGTGGTTTTCTACTGGCATTAACAATATTCTTAAATGTTCTTAAAGAAGCAGCTTTATTATATGCTAATACTAGAAAAATTGTCAGCATAAGTAGAAAAATAAACTGTCATTTTATTGTGAAGTGCCCCTGCCCATGGCAGGGGGGTTTGGAGTTACATGACCTTAAGGTCCTTTCCAACCCTAACTATTCTATGATTCTATAAAGGTATTGATACAGTCTTTCTCCTGTTCCTGAAGTAAAGGCATCCCAATGTTTCAGTCTTCTTTAAATAAACATGCAAATTCTCATCTCTATTCTAAATCACCATATAGTTACATCACGGAAAACAACGTGCTTTAAAATCTAAAGATGCAAAGAGATCAATACCAGATTAATTTATTATGTATTTCTTTTACATGACTACTTTACTGCAAGATGCTCTGCATGTGCACAAATGTAACAGTGACAGATATTTACTGGAAGATGGTATATAAACAGGCAAAGCCTCAGACTAAACAGACAAGATTTTATTGTTCATTTGCACAGTAGAAAAGAGTTTCAGATAAATTCAGAGGGAAAGAAGCATTTGTAAGAAATTCAGAGTGAAAGAGCATTTGTAAGAAATCAAAATGTCAAATACTAAATCTACTGTCACAGAAGTTTTGCAGCAGTTAGTTACTATAGCAAACTGCCCTGTACAATCTTTGATACCAAGTCAATGTATTTCCAAGGAAGTAACAAAAACCGCTGATGGAATTGCAGTGTAATTTCTTCATGCAGAACTGACAAATGTGATGATTGCCAACAAGCTGATACATATGAGTAGTATGAATATAGTAGAAACAACTGACATATTCAGATTTTGAAAACTTTGAAAACTTTGACAAATTACTAACTACAGCTAACACAGCAAATTCACTCAAACCAGAAGCTCTGTAATTACTAATAAATTCAACCAATTCTTTAGATTTTACTGTTTAGACAGCACACTTACATTAAACCAACAATTTTGAAGTGAAGGCACCAGAACACATAAGTAATGTTCTTCTAAGCAGTTATTTCTTTAGGTTCTCAGAGCCCAGAGGTAAGGAATTTGTTCACTAGTTTTCTCCTAAAATGAAGGACAGTTCTGCAACCTATGTGTTTAGTTTTATGAATTTTGCTGGAAATACTCATGCAAGCAACTGTTTTGAAGAATAATTCTTATCAGAGGAAAAAGATCTGTATCCAAATTAGTCATCACTTTCTGTTTCACTGACTTCTGAGGAGTCAACCAAATCTTCTGATACTGCATCAGTGACATACATTTTTTTAGTACCTAGAAGTAATTATAAAAGTGTAACATTTATAAAGCAAGAAAAAATTAAAAACCTCAAAACAAATATGTAGGAGTATTAAAAAAATACCAAAACAGTAAAATCAGACTTTAAACTACAAACTACGCCAAACCACTGAAAACTACTTTAAACTGCTTGTCTGTGCCATTCCGACAGAAAATTACTCTCCTGTCTATAGTTTGCTATCAGTGGTCCTCTCATCTGTTTTCAGAGAGTTTGAGCAAGTGAAGTGTAACACATAACTTAAAGAATATTTGAGATAAAAACTATGCAGAAACGAGGATGCTAATCATCTCATGCATTATAAACACCAACTTGTTCACTCCTTACCACCTGTAAAAGGGCTATCATCTTCACAGTCTTTCCAGTGTTCAAAATCAAGAGACACGTGATTATTCTGTTGACAAAAACATTGTTTGAAATACTTGCATTGGCACACAGTGGGTATGTTCAGAATATGCAGTAACTCTCAAATTAACTTCCACTTCACCTTGTTCTTCAGTAATTTGCACCATGATCCTTTTTGCTCTTTCACAAGAATAATAACAACCTCTTTATCCTTTATCACACATGTAGACTTTTCTGCAAGTATATGCTGATGCAGCTCCATGTCAGCCAAATAAAATTTGTCTCCTGAACAAGCACTACATCATAAACAAAGTTTAAAAAATTAAATGCAAGCTGACAGTCAAACATTTAGTAATTATACTAGATTTGTTAAACTTACCTGAAAATCAGCTTCTCTTTAGAGAACTCACATTTATGGTCAGCTACACTTGCTATTTCTACCTTCACTGTAACCGTGTCTTCATTTTGAAACCACTTTATTTGTGGATGAAAGCTAAAATAAAGAAAGCACAATTGGATTTTTTTTTTTTTTTCTAAAACAGAAAAAAACCCGCCAACTTTCAGAGAAGCTGTTTTGCATAAGCTAGAATTTTCCCATTAGGTTACAAGCAACTAGCTGATTTTCAGCTGAACAGAAGTGACAGAAAAGTATATGACAGGATGTCAGTCAAGCCAGCTACTAAAGCGGTGTGATCTGTCTTTGAAGAAGCACATCTACTAGTCCAAGTGGGGGGGGGAGACACCTAATTAACTTTGATATCTACAGGAATCAAATTTACTGCCTCATTTAAGGATGCTATCATAGCCTGATCTTGAAACAACGAAAGAAATGGTAACAGTAGCAAGACCAACCTCTGAAAGACAAACCCAACTTTTCAACTGACTACAGACACAAATATACATCTCATCAATATTTTCAACTGCTCCTCTTACAGCTGTTATGCCTCAGTCTTCCTCCAAACACTGAAAGGTTTTAACCAGCAAAAGATAAATCCTGTTAACAGACTGTAACATCTGTTCATTAAGATTACTTCCCTTATTATGCCCTCAGTCAAATCCAAACCCCCATTTATTTAACTGCTATCTTGTATCTCAATGTGTTATTGCATAACAGAGAAAATCTGCAATTGTTCTAGCCAAGCTGCAGGAGATACAACTAAACACAACCAATCACCCTACCAAGAACTTTTACAATAGGCTAAAATATAAAGTATTTCTGAACCTTGCACAAGAAAATGTCAGTCACCCGTAACTAGCATTAACAGAAGAAAAACTATAAGCCACCAAAGAGAAGCACTGCCTAGTCCCAAAGAGAGAAACTTACACATTTCTCAGGATCCACTGTCAGTTGACTTTGGCCACAAACCACACTTAAGATTTCTCTCGGCATACCCTCAATTATAAATAAACCTAAACCTAGGATTAATTTCTACTGCATGCTTCTCAAATTACTTAACAGAAACTGCCCTATCCACAAACAGTTAGGGATAATGGATCCACTTCCAATCAAAACAAAACAAACACAAAGCAGAAAACAAAGAGAAAAAGAAATGTGCCATAATTTTGCGTTGCAGACATTCTCAGAATAAAATCAGGTTTGTTTTGTTTTTTTTTTTTTAAGAACAGAATTACATTAAGGGGAAACAAAACTGATTCATCCCATCAAATACCAATCTGGAGAGACAGAAGCATCTGAGCTGTAATTCAGACACCAAATAGGACAGTCTTTGGTTAAAACATAAACTAGACAAAGTGCAAATCAGAATTTATACCCATCAACTGAGCTTAAAGAGTGTTTTGTTTTCATTCCTAGTACTGTGGTGCCTCATCAAAGATACACAATTTCAACAGATAAAGTAAGCTTCCAGGAGTAAACTAAAGAACAATGAAATTACTTAAGGGATTCACAAGATGATGTGTGTGTATATACATACGTATCTAACAGCAACAGTCAATCTCTCAAGTTCAACACTGAGGTAACAGAATACTTCTACCTATATTATACCTATTTACCCACAAAACAGATTAATCTCAGTAAGGACGACTGTCCTGTTTGGCAGTTCACGTTAAAAATCACTCTGAATTTTTGTACCATTGGCGCTGATGTAGTGTAGTGTCTTCTACTTCCTTACTTGGACGTACACCATCTAAAAAAAAATCAGAAAGATATTTTATACTTATCTATACTACAGAAACCAGATACTTCCAGAATACTCCAGTACCACCATAAACATAGCTTGCTAGCAAGCAAATTACTACCACAAGACCGTATCTGCCATTTATACTGGGTACTTGGTATTTGGAAAGATTTTATAAAGTTAGTAATTCAACTGAAAGTTTTAACTAAAAAGAGTATTATGGTTGGTATAATTTAAAAAATCCACCACAACTGCACAGTTTTTCAGGTCAGGTAAAGGTTTTTCCCATTTCAAGACATTACTTACTTGAAATCCAAAGCATGTGATTTTAGACACTGACTAAGAGTTTCAGGGTTGGAACAACTAATACTGCTGTTACCATCACAACTTACAACATGGCATTACAGTCACTCTACTACACTAGGAAAAAATGCTTTCTATGATAAGCACTCCATGATCTTATTTGAATTTTGCCTGCTGCAACATTTTAAAATCACTGAGCTTTGACCGCTCTAAACTCATGCACCAACTGCTGCAAGGTCCCCTTCCTGCAACTGACAAAGCTCTGAGCTTTTAATCCTCTGACCGAATACCACATTCTTGAGCTTTTGGCTTTTTTTTCCCTTTAATCTTTTTCAGCCATCCTAAGTCTTGGAAAAATTAAAAACAACCTCCCAGAGAACAATGCTCCCAGAGAACCTCAACTTTCAACACATTTCAACTTCCTTAAACCCTATGGCTTCTGACAACAAAATGCTAACCCTGTCTACAGGAGAGATTTCCTACTCCCACATTCCACTCAGTTCTTAGTTTCTGAAAGAATAACTGTTTCTCAAATAGCAATACAGCCACATTAGTGAGATTTACCCCCACAGCATCTCCAGGCTACTAACTACAAGGTATCTGTGGCTTATGCTAAACATTAGCTACATGGCGCTACTCTGTACACTCACAGAGGTCCGTACTTTGTATCACAGTATCACAGTAGGTTAGAGATTGGAAGGGACCTCAAAAGATCATCTAGTCCAATCCCCCTGCCGGAGCAGGAACACCTAGATAAGGTTACACAGGAACGTGTCCAGGCGGGTCTTGAATGTCTCCAAAGAAGGAGATTCCACAACCTCCCTGGGCAGCCTGTTCCAGTGTTCCGTCACCCTCACTGAGAAGTTTCTTCTCAGGTTTAAGTGGAACCTCTTGTGCTCCAATTTGTACCCATTACCCCTTGTCCTTTCATTGTTTGCCACTGAGAAGAGCCTGGCTCCATCCTCGTGACACTCCCCCTTTATATATTTATATACACTAATAAGGTCACCCCTCAATCTCCTCTTCTCCAAACTATAGAGACCCAGCTCCCTCAGTCTTTCCTCATAAGGGAGATGCTCCACTCCCTTAATCATCTTAGTTGCCCTGCGCTGGGCTCTCTCCAGCAGGTCCCTGTCCTTTTTAAACTGAGGGGCCCAGAACTGGACACAATATTCCAGATGAGGTCTCACCAGGGCAGAGTAGAGGGGAAGGAGGACCTCTCTTGACCTACTAACCACCCCCCTTCTAATACAACCCAGGATGCCATTGGCCTTCTTGGCCACAAGGGCACAGTGTCGGCTCATGGTCACCCTGTCGTCCACCAGGACCCCCAGGTCCCTCTCCCCTACACTGCTCTCTAACAGGTCGTTCCCCAGCCTATACTGGAACCTGGGGTTGTTCCTGCCCAGATGCAGGACTCTACACTTTCCCTTGTTATATTTCATCAAGTTATTCCCCGCCCAGCTCTCCAGCCTGTCCAGGTCCCTCTGGATGGCAGCACAGAATATGAGATTGTAATATGAGATTTAGGTTGACATTTAAGCCCCTATCCTTAAAGTTTCAAAATTGTTGGAAATCCTAAAAATGTTTCCCACATGAATGAGTCCTGAATATAATCTTAGAAGAATTACAGTTTTCTGTAGAGTTTTCTTGTGCCGACATGTTCTGTGGATTGCACGTGTTCTCTGCATTGGACGTGTTCTCTGGATCAGCTGTATCTTCCTTTATGCTTCTGAACACAGAAAAATACATTTTAAAATGAAAATATCTAAATATGTTTAAGATTTAAAGGATTCCTAATCATAGCTGGAAATCCTTTTGAAGTTTTTCATTTTAATACATATAAAAATCCCCGACAAAATGCACTTCTATAAACTATAAATATCACCACAGGGTTGCTGAAATTCAGTAACTCAGAAAGAAGCACTTATACAGAAATCTGAGATAGGAGAACATTTAAAATCCTGGTGGCACTAGCATTTCCTCTGAAACAAGTCTATTGATGCTCCTGTGTGTGACAGTCCTAGACAGTAAAATGATTCTTTCACAAAGAATACCAGTAGTTTTGGGGGTTTTTGGGTCATATTTCATTCTAATTTTGGAAAAGTAAAGATTTCAGAATACTCAAAGTTCTTAATTTATGAGCCACAGACCTATGGCTTCCCAGCTGTACAGCCACTAGTTGGGCTAAAGCAGAATGAAATACTGCAGCAGAGTCAATTTACTTGAGAGCTCAGAGATAGGCACCATGATCAGCAACAAACAGCCTTGGAACTCACTGTCAAAGCATTACTGAGAACACAGCACCACATTATTTTTGAAACACTGAATTGTCTGTACAAATGAACTATCCTTCCATCACCTACAAACACCCAGTGGCATAAGAGAACCAAAACCAGTCTAGTAAGCTACCACTTAATGTTTCAGTTCACATAAATACATACTTTTCAATTAATTCATATTGAAGATTCACTATTAAATACCTGTGCAGCCATCTTTATTCAGAACCAACACATCTTATTAATTTACCTCCAAAGTAATTAAGGTAAGACTGAAGTAATTTTAGTCCTAAATGAGAAATACGTTTCATCACTTCACCTTTAGAAAATGCTTCTCAGCTTTTCTGAGTAATTTCAATTAAACAATTATTTGAGGCCAGGTAAAATACAACACAGCAAATTAAACTTGTGTATTTCTTAAAAATAATTTCTGAATTATATCTGCATCAAATACCAGTTAAATGTTTCCTAGAGTTTATTTTTTTCTTTTCATGATGCAGGATCTTAAGATCTCTTCCAACCCAAACTATTCTGTGACTGTGTTCTATGTGGCTAAAGAATAATTAAAGGAAAGCAGACATATCACAAACACTAGATTCTGTGTTCAAATCAAAATCGCATTCAGTAATATCAGTGATGAAAATACCCAGTAAATAACGCAATTTTTTCCCCTAGTAAACTATATGCTGAAAAAAATTTGTAAACACTTACAAAGACTCTAAGTTCTCTGTGTGATCTAATAATTTCAGGTGTCCACACAACTTCTGAAGTTGCATTATATGTTCGGGATTGTCAGTCCCCATACCCGTAGACAAAATCTCAGATCGAACGTTGTATTCATTGGTTGTTATCTTCAACTCTGACAGTCTGGTTATCCGAACCTTGAATGACAAAGCATACTAAATGGAAACCATAGCTCATAAACAGTGTCTCTCCAAATCTAAGATTTACATAAACCTCATTTATTTATACTTATAAGCAGCTTATTTGCAAACAGGAACCTAAGCACATTTGTGTTGAAAGTAAAAATCCCTCAATTTGCCTTTGAGCTGTCTTTGATACCGATTCCTCACAGAAATCCTTGTTCATAAAATGAAGGATTGCCTAGAGTTAGCTGGTCAGGACCATGTCCCAGATGCTTCTGAGTATCTCTAAAGACAGAGATATTACAATCTGCCTGCAGCCTGTTCCACCGTTCAGACACCATCACAGTAAATTAACCAACACCCCACAGGAAGTTAAAATAGGCAAAGACAGAGGAAAGAGTTGCGCTTTATTACAAAGGAGTTTAGATACAAATATTTTGTTATGGTACGGTTCTATACCTACCATTTGGTCAACCCAAGCTGTATTTCCCAAGGTATGTACTATTTTTGCTTCATGTGGTTTTCCTTTAATTTTGTAATTTATGTATTGAGTTACCTATGAAAAACAAGTTTTCGCTGTATTTGAGAACACCAACATTTTTATTATTTTATTTTAATTTTATTTTATTATTTTAATTACAATGAAACAATCTTCTGAGCTTAACAATGAAAAGGATATTCAATAAATAAAAAAGAGTTTTGAGTAAACTAGTGAAATACTCCAACTTTACCATAGGTTAAAATAGTATTAGCCTTTAAGGAGGGATCTTACTTAATGGAAGAATACTCCAACACAGGTCAATTTACAGAGGCTACTCTTCTGCTGTTACACCCCCCAGATTCAAAAGTAGCAATAGCCAGTTCTGTAAAAACCCATTTAAATCGGGGAAGAAAACCCCACAAACACCACTTTATTATTTTGTAGGAAAACAAACAAGAAAAGTGACTTAATAGAATTTGGCTCTGTAGCAGATACTTACTTCTAATACTAACAAGCAATGAGATTTGATAACTGAGTTTCCAGTTCATTACTGTTTTCTTGTAGAAAATAATGCACAGAAGTTAAAGAACAACGGAAATACCATGCAGAAACATAAATATTACCTTTGGGTTCCATTCAGTTTCTTTATCAATGGGTTTCACTCTACAAACTACAAATTCCACAGCCTGAGGTGGCAGGCACTGAAACCTTGCAGGCAAATGAAGAAGCTGACAGCTCTGAACTTGAGTTATTCTGCCTTCATCTATATATTTAATTTTGACACTGAAGAACAGATTTTCCTCCTCTTTTGAGTATATCTCTAACACCTGAACCCTTCACACAGTAGGAAAAGGAACACAGAATTATTATTCATCTAACTAGCTGCAAAAGTTGTTTAATCTACTCATTCAGAAAACCATGTTTTCATAGCAAAACATTTAACTGTGTGTGTACATGCATGGGTAGTCATTCTGCTTTGCATTCAGTAACTTAAAAATACGTTTTTAAAGGTCTGAATAGCAGCTATTTTTTTCCCTGATTTTGGAGGTGGGCCTACTTTTTTTTTTTTTAACTAGAAACGGTGAGAGTTTAAAAAAGTGACTCAGATAATAACCCCCAACATATTTACCTGTGAAAAAGTCTTTTCTCACATAATCCATACAATGCTTGCGCCTCCACGTTTTTAACAGAAATTCTGTTACTTGGGTTCTCAAAATAGTCATTAATTTCTTCGGCAAGAATTGTGTATTGGTCTTTTTCCTTATCTACTATTCGACCAAAGTAGTTTGTTGCACTTACAATGTGGAGAGGCAGTATCTGAAAACAAAAAACACCTGAGAAGAAAGAAGGACTAGAGGATTTCTTAAAAATGACATGTTAAGCTTTCATATTGAAGACCACTTACCTCTCTCCATCCTAAAGAGGAGACAAAGATGCTGCTGCATACACACATTTCAGAAGATTTAGTTGTCAGTGTATTATTCATGAATAATTCTGAATTCAGAATTAAATGAGGAAACAGTGTAAGGCATACCTGCTGCCTTGAGTGCATCACATGTAAGTGCATGTTTCTAACAACAGTGTCATGAAACCTGTCGTGGTCTCAGGCACTAAAACCAGATACATGTAGGTTGTCAAAGGGTTTGAAAACTCACTTCAACAAAAGCTTATTAGGAAGAAATGGACTGACACTAAAGAATCCATCCAGTTCTCCTTATTTTCTGTTCTCATAACCTGTACTTTTGGGAACGGACAACACCCATTAACTGCATGACATAAAGGCACACAAACTCTGCAGAAGACAGGACAGGAAAAAGGCATCCAGCACACCTTAGACCCAAGGGCTGAAACTTTGGAAGGACCAATGTCTACATGCTTTCCCTCAGCAATCATCATCCAACAAGGAGACAAGAGAGAGATTGTACAATACTACTGTACAGGAAGACAATCCAGTATAGAAGGGACCTAAAAGCCAGGCGAAGGGAGCTACAGATACAAGCTATTACCGGCATGTGAAAAACCACCATAGCAAAGTCAACCCAGTAACCACAATGGTTTAATGACTGCAAAATGTAAAAAAAAAAAACCAAAAAAAAAAAAAACACACAAAAAAACCCCAACAAGGCCCAGCTAGAACAACAGTCTGTATCAGAATGATTTTCAAAAAGCACTGACATCATAGTATAAAATCATAGAATAGTTAGGGTTGGAAAGGACCTTAAGATCTAGTTCAAACCCCCTGCCATGGGTAGGGACACCCCACACTAGACTACGTCTTCCAAGGCTCTGTTCATCCTGGCCTTGAACATTGCCAGGGATGAAGCATTTAACAATTCCAGTGCCTCATCACCCTCACAGTAAATAACTTCTTCCTTGTATCTAACTTGAAATTCCCTGTTTAAATTCATTACGTCTTGTCCTACCACTGCAGTTCCTGATGAAGAGTCCCTCTCCAGCATCCTTGGTAGGCCCTCTTCAGATATTGCTCTGAGGTCTCCACTATCTTCTCTTCTACAGGCTGATTGCTCCAGTCCCCTGATCATCCTTGTGCCCCTCCTCTGAACTTGTTCAACGGTTCCATATCCTTATGCTGAGGACACCAGAACTGCATATAGTAATCCAAGTGGAGTCTCACAAGAGCAGAGGGGCAGCATCACTTCCTTCAACCTGCTGGTCACACTCCTATTGATGCAGCCCAGGACACAGCTGGTTTCTGGGCTGTGAGCGCACATTGAAGCCTCCTCATGTGAAGTTTCTTGTCAACCAACACCCCCAAGTTCTCCTTAGGGGCTGCCCTGAATCTCTTCTCTGCCCAACCTGTAGCTGTACCTGGGACTGCCCTGACTCAGGTGCAGGACCTTGCACTTGGCTTGGTTCAACTTTATGAGGTTGGCACTGGCCACCTCTCAAGTGTGTCCAGGTCCGTCTGGATGGCATTCCTTCCCTCTGGTGTATCAACTGAACCACACAGCCTGGAGTCATGAGCAAACCTCCTGAGGGTGCACATAATTCCACTGCCCATGCCACTGACAAAGATGTTGAACACGATGGGTCCCGACTCCCAACTCCTGAGGGACACCACTTGTTACCCATCTCTATCTGGACATTGAGCTGTTGACCAGAACTCCATGAGTGTGGCTGTCCAGCCAAGTCTTTATCCATCAGGTGGTCCATCCATCAAATTGATGTCTCTCCAGTTTAGAGACAAGGATGTCATGTGGGTCAGTGTCAAACGCTTTGCACAAGACAAAGTAGCAATATCAACTGCTGTGCCCCTATCCACCAGTTCCGTAGCCCCATCATAGAAGGCCACCAAATTGGTCAGGCAGGATTTCCCCTTAGTGAAGCCATGCTGGCTGTCACCAACCACCTTGTTGTTTGTCATGTGCCTTAGCATGCTTTCCAGGAGAATCTGCTCCAGGACTCTGCAAGGCACAGAGGTGAGACTGACTGGCCTGTAGTATCCCAAGTCTCATTTTCCTCTTGAAAAGGGGGTTATATTTCCCTTTTTCCAGTGGTCAGTAACTTGACTTGAGTGCCATGATTTTTCAAATATGGTAGTGGCTTAACACTTTCAGTCACCAGCTCCTTCAGGACCCACAGATGAATTTCATCAGATCACATGGACTTGTGCAAATTCATGTTCTTCAGATGATCTCTAACATGATCCTTCTTTACTATGGGCCTTAGGTCTTCATTCTCACAGTGCCTGCATCTGCTTTCCAAGACTTCAGCAGAAGCAGTTGCTGAGTAGAGTCAGACTACTTGCTGCTGAAGACTGAGGCAAAGAAGTCATTGAGAACCTCATCCTTTTCCAAATCCAGGGTAGCCTGTTCTCCCAGTTCTCTCTCCGGAGAGAGCCCACATTATGCGTGGTCTGTCTTTTTCTTTTGCGACATACCCATAGAAGCCTTTCCTATTATCTTTCACATGCCATGCCAGACTCAGTTCTGGCTGCGGCTTAGCTTTCTTGACCTGATCCCCAGTTTCCTGGACAACGTCCCTGTATTCTTCCCAGGCTGCACGTCCTTGCTTCCACCTTTTATAAGCTTCTTTTTTCCTTCTAAATTTTCACAGCAGCTCCTGCTGTGAAAGCCTCCTGGCTTCCTGCCCCATTTACTTCTAGTCAGGATGCAACATCCCTGAGCTTGGAGCAGGTGATCCTTGAATATCAAAAAGCAGATTTGAGCCCCCCTGCTCTCTAGGGCTGTATCCCATGGGACCTTACTGAGCAGGTTTCTGAAGAGGCCAAAGTCTGCTCTCTTTAAGTCCAGGGCACTGAGCTTGCTGCGTGCTCTTCTCACTGTCCTGAGGATCTTGAACTCCACTGACTCATGACTGCTGCAGCCAGATTGCTGCTGGAGTGTCACATTCCCCACCAGCCTTTCCCTGTTGGTGAGCATGAGGTCAAGCATGGCACCTCTTCTTTTTGGCTCCTCTATTACTTGCAAGAGTAAGCAATAACTGCTCCATCTAGAAGGTAAGTGAAGAGCTTATCCAGTTTGCAGTATCCCATTTTCTGCGGATACTGCAAATGAAAATGCTACTTTCAAATGACAAGGCCAGCATATGCTCATTTTTCAGCAAGTCTGCATGAACAGATGAGCCAAGAAAAAAATTTCTCAGTTCCAACAAAACACACATCATTTTCCACTTTGCTCCAAAAGATAAATTTCTTTTCCTCTACCATAAACATAATAGAAATTCGCAGGAATGTTAACCTTCGTAAATTCTGATATAGGATCTCAACTTATAGAGGGAAGGAATAAAAAGAATGTAAGCCCTCTTCCCACAGAATGGGAATCTTCAATGCAGAAGAAAAACTGAGGTAAAGTAAGAAGTCTGGTACGCTTATTTATGCGAGGAGAAACAGAAAAAGGCTCAATTATAACATATTCAAAACGTATAGCATACACACTACAGCAATATTAATGTAATACAAAAAGTCATATGCTAAGTAGATCTGTCTTCTTGGTACCTAAAACCAAGGAAAATAATAACTTACTGTCACATATCCAGGTGCCTGTAGAATTTTATCAGGTATATTCTGGGGTATATCCATTTGCATATTAATTTGATGACGATCTGGACAAGCTGTTCTATTCCTATGTATTAAAAACATGGGTTTAGAAGACAACCTTTTTTTTTTTTTCTCTCTTCAGTTTTAAAGTATTTTGATGTGATTTACAATGGCTTAAAACACAAAGTTCATCAGTCCTCAATACTCAATTTCTGTCTCAAACAGCAGCCATAACTCTGGGGATTAAACAGAAACACCCAAAAAACTCTTGATGGATAAGTCTACATAACAAAAAACACCAGAAAAATTATTTCAGAACAAAGTAAACACTAACATTGAATTTTTTGTTACTTGCAACAACTGTTATCTATGCTAGAAGTCACTTCGGAGAACACACTAGCTTCTTCCTTCCGGCACTACTTACAGTCGAGTTACAACTCAGAGAAGTCATTATCTACCTACACACTCCTGGAGGGACAGAAGACAACAGGGGAGAGAGTAAAGCACAAACCTCATGCAATTATTGGTAAATTCCTAACCAAAACAACAATTAGAAGTTCCCTCAAGTACATTTAGGCAGGTGCCTGAGAAGTGAAACAGATGCAAAAGAAAATAATGAACAGAACCTGGTCTGAATAAAAATATCCAACAGGAAAATTAATCAAGGCAATAGAAGCAGTCATCACCCAGGGTGTACAATGCCTGGTATGGGTTTCAAGAAAACTGGGTATTTCCTTACTTGCAAATCCCAAATGTTTTAAGATAGGCACACAGTGGCCTTGAAAATTTCTTATCTTCTTCAGCTTCTAGCATCTTGGCAGTAAAATCATGAAGTTCTGGTGGAATTTCAGCTTCTGCGTGCTGCAAAAAGCGCAGGATCCCAAGTGCATGGCAGCCACTGTTTTCTGTGAGCAAAATGACTGACCTTGCCTTTGTATGTTCCTGATCTACAGAAGAATCCTACAAAAAAAAAAACAAACAAACAACCCACCAAAAAACAAAAACCCCACATTTTTAAAAAGCTTTTATGTATCCACCACTTAATAACCAAATGTATTCTTTACCTGTTAAAGATTTACTCACATTAGAGAAGTTGTCAGACATGGTGTGTAGACGCTGACCAAAGATTCTTGGAGAAGGAAAACTGAAATGTATCACACAAGTTGCATCTGTAATTCCCAAAGACTGCATGCAGTCATCTGTTGAGACTAAGCAGATATTTTATACACATAAGTAAGGTAACTGTAGTACTTAAAGCACCTGAAGTTTTATACTAACAACGGCCGTTCCCCTCTCTGCATGCACTGACTTAAAAGGTCTTTTCCCAATACACTTACATAAAGCACTGTACTTCCTCAGTCAATACATTTCGTAAGTGTATGACAGATACAATTCTGTCTGTAATAATCCAGCATAATTCTGTATCTTGTATCAGTATCACAGAATAAACAGAACTGCCCACAGCCAAGTACTTCACAAGAGTAAGACAAACACTTTAAGTAATGCAGGAATGCTAACACCTTTGTATGAACCTACAAAAGCAGATGTAAGTCAATCTTGCTTTTGATGCATGATAAAAATTAAGTCCGAAAGTGGGTAAGAATTCTTGCTACTGTGAATAACCTGAAAAATGCAAAATACAATTCCACCAGAACGTATGGGAAATTATTACAGGAAGTCTTTAGAGTTGCTAAATGATTTCCAATGGAAATATCCTCTGTAGTACAAGATAATTGTGAAATCATGGGAATTCTCTGAAAGAACTAGTAGTTCTGCTAGCTAATGCTTAAAACTCTCCCCCTTTACGTTCCCTCTAACAAATAAAATTTTTTGCTCTGAGCAGTTAATCCTGTGACACAGAAACAATAAAAAAAATAAAAAAAAAGGAAAAGAAGACTAGCTGTATCAGCTGTAGCACTAGTAAGTAGAGGGGTAACTAGAAAGAATTCACACGGAACTGACCCTGTGGAGGTGATGAAATAACCCAGTGTTAAGTACTTAGTGCAAAACCATGAGGGACCATGAAGACATAATCACAACTAGACAAAAACACTCACCTAGCAGAACAGGACTGCCAGAATTATACTTTTTTGTCCACTGCTCTAAGATATACTTGGAATCGCTCTCTTTATGTATTTTCAAGGAAAATATTGAGTTGCTCTTCAGTGCCTAGATGACAAAGTAAAAAGGTACACATTCTTCCAGTACAGCAGTAACTGCTCTAAAACTCTAATAAACAGTATATCTTACTAGTATCTAGCATACCTTAGCTATTGTAAAAAAAACAGACATGTAAAAGAGTGAAATGTAAGATACTAATATGAAAAGAAAATTTCAAGATGATGGAGATTTATACTAATTTCCTGTATAAAAACAAACTAAAAACTCAGGTTTCTATGGGTTAATATATGAAACATAAGCTTTTCCCACCATTAAGGTGTCCTCTCTAAGCAGATTCTAACAACTTGCAGGCTCATGTTTCAGTCTCTCAGAAAAAGCACTAAAAGCTCTTCACTGATCTACCCATACTTACTTTGCATGAATGCAGTATTCTCAAAGGCTTTATGTATTTCTCAAGTTCAATGCTCACAAATGAATCACTACAAAATCCTTTGTTATTTGATAAACAGGCATGTCTAATGAACTAAACAATTTTTTTTTTTGTAGATTATTTAAGATATTTGAAGTTGATGTACTCAAGGATTACTATCAACAGCTTCAATGCTTATTTAGCATCAGCAAGCACTCTATGCAGTGGTGGGGTTCATTTTGGTATGCTTGAAGAAATTAACCACCAAATATTCAAGGAAAACATGTCAAAGTTGTGAGACAAACCAGATTTGCTTCCATTAACTATAGCCAAAGATCAAACATTCCAAACACATCAACATTTACATAAGAATAATTCTTTAAATATCACAGGATCTACTGCAGCTTCTGGAAGGGAATGCATTCCATGTTTCAGGACTGACATGTCTTCTTATAACATCTAAATAATCCAGTCCATATCCTTTTGCTATCCCATCCCTGAACTACAGTTGAAGATTTTAAGTCAAAATACCCTCATAGCTTGCCACCTTTAGCAATATCATCCCCATCATCAGCATCACCCTATTCGGTCTTAACAGAACTGCTTCCCATCTCTTGCTTCCCAGTCAAATCACACTGCACTCACTTTGCACTGTTAGAGAACTAGTAAAGAGACAAAGTGCAGAAAGATTGTTTTTTACTGCTGTTGTTACATGTTTTCATTGCTACAATGCCTGAAGAAAGAACACTTGCAGAAGGAGTCTTAATCTCCATCCCTGATATGCTGACTATACCATTCTACAAAAAAGGTGTAAAAATGGAGCACATTGCAGGCAACTGTGGCAGTTTTATACCAGCTTTTAAGAAAACACATGTTAAACGTGCTATCTTCCTCCCAACACCCTACAACTTGAAGCTTAACTGAATTCTGGTGTAACTTTCAGAGGATGACAGAAAATGTTTTTGCCTTTTTTTTTTTTTTTTTTTTTCAAATCAGAGAAAGCTGACTACAATTTCAAATATTCCAGAGGAGAAAGCAACAGAGTGTAACTTCTTAATATGGTGGCTTAAGTTTTCCCATACCACTCCTGGAAAGAGTAAATAAAATTAAGAAACTGTCAGAACTTTCAATTGAAAAGATTGTCCAGTCAACTCAAAATTCCAGTCTGACAGACAGAACATAGTGAATAATTGAATAATGAAGCATTCTCTGCCAGACTTTACTGTCTGTCAGGCTTTCTTCTGCTTGGCACAAGGGCAGTTTTGGGGGCTATTTTTAGCAGAAATAATTAACTTCCAAATTCACGTACTTCCTCTATTCTCAGAAGATAAGGTGTTTTAGTTTGTTACATCGTGGCAATTAAAAAAGACCCAAACACTTTTCTACTTAAATGCTTTCTTACCTCATGAATCACATCTGCTTCATTTACTGAATTAGTGAATACCAGCACCTTCTGAGGATTACTGTGGGTAAAATCCAGTATTTTGAGTAACACAGAAATTCTCTCACTGTTCACACAACGTTGCACAACCTAAAAAATAGATACAAAACAGAGGGCTGGTAAGTAATGTAATCTATACGTATTTTACTAATTCTTCCTTTTAATAAGCACTAAGCATTGTTACACTCTACCAAAGTGAATCTAGTAAATGCTAGCTGCAGTAAGTGGCACATCTTGTCTTTAAGATTCAATTCTCCTAGATATACGTATTATTAAAATTCATCACATAATCAAAATCCCACAGTAGGGTTTTTATTAATTTAGTTTTAGGTGAATTACAAATCTGAATTTGGCATTTTCAAGTGCCACTAAAAAAGCCTCACACCCTCTCGCACACAGAATAGCATTCTGTACCACCTGAAATACTCTTAATAACTGAAAAGCACCAAAACACTGACATTTTCAGTCTTGTCAAACCATTATTTAGACTTCTCACAAAAAGTGGTGTTTTTTTCAACTTCATGACATGTTCAGAATGCTTAGTTTTAAGGATTCTTAATCCCTGAATTATTACATTTTGAGATACTTAATATGTATTCTCAAAATTATTATATTTTGAGAATAATTCAGATCACAGTTACAGTATTTTGTATTACTCTTAAGGGCTACACCACACTGACTGGAAATTAAACGATAAGACACCTAAGAACATAGAACAACTTTCTGGAAATTTCAGGTCAAGTTAAATTCTGTATTGTGTTGCACACAGCAGTAGAACAAGTATTTTATGAGCTCTGTCTTGGGATAACTTACCTTGTAGTTCTGCCGCTGCCTGATTAGCCATTACAAAATTAACAGCTGTAAAAACACTCAGTAAAATTCTGGTCACGAACTATACCATTTGCAAATACTTCACATAAAATTCAGACTCATTTGCATAAACAATGAATTTCTTGAGGGAATATCTTCACATTAGTTCTACAAAGGAAGGCAAAACACCTTCAACTTTTCCAGTGACTAACCTGCAGAGGTCTTCCAAGAGTTACTTCAGTTCATATGTGGAAGGTGCACCTGAACAGTCTGAGTTAGGATTGCAGCACTACCCACTTAAAATAAACTATCAGCGACCACCTATACTGACCTTGATCGGTACAAACAGCAAAACATCTTAGTAAACAAAGTGACATCATACCCAAATTTTTACCTGTTGCACATTTCCACAGATGGAAGCTTCTTCCATAGCTGTTATCACAACATAAGGATCATACATGAACTCCTTTATCATGTGTGCTATGTGTTTATTCCAATGAGTTCCAACAGCAATGATCTGACGGGGTGAATACTGCCACTCTTCAGTAATAGTGGCTTTCTTGTAACAATCTAATATGGTAAAAACCTGTAAAGAAAAGTTTCTTTTCTAGTCTCTTATCCTATTCCAGACAGTATGTAATGAGAAGTAAACTTTCAGCACATTACTTTTCCCAGTCTCAAAACCACCACCAGAGCAAAACATGCGTTTTACATCCCAAACCAAAGCATTTGATTTGTGCACTTGTATGTGTCCTATCATCTGAACAACTTCTAAAGCAAGAACAAAGCAACAGAACAGCATGGAGGAACAGCATATACACACACAGAGGATTTTGTCCAGAGAAGAAAATCTCAGGAAAATGATCTTTACAAATCTGAAAAAAATTACACCTAGGCAAAAGTAGAACCAAGAGGTCAGAGGCAGTCAGCAAAAACTAGGAAGCAAACAGAAGACAAGCAAACTTGCCAGTGCAGTAACCCCTCCCTCAAATGGTGAGTTACCATAAAATCATTTATAAAAAAAAGTGGGGTGGGGTGGAGAGGTGGGGGGAATCACTAAGAATTAATATATTCTTGATGAAATTATTTGACCTAAGTGACAAGCAGTCCAGTTGTGGAACAACATCAGGATTTCTGGCAAAGCACTACCATACTAAGATAACTAAGAAGTATTCAAGCAGTCTGCCACAATTATAGGAGCTCTCTCCCAAACTGGCACTGTTGAGGGCAGGACTGTTTTTAACAATATGACATTTCTGCAACACAATGCTTTAGAAGAGCCACAACAACCCCAACATTATCAAATTATCACTTCCCTCTGAAAGAGCAACTCTTCTTTTTTCTAGTCAAGGCTGATGCATTTGAGAAGATGAGAAGATCCTACAAAAATGGCAGACAACATACACAGTATTTTACAAACTACCTGCACACCGCCTCAAGAAGTAGAGGAACACAACATAATGACCAGCCTAATCAGAGAAAAAGAATGCCCCACTGGGTAAGGATGACATTTAATCTAATTTATGACTTGCTTTGGTGCTACAAGGGCACACTTAACAGCTCCACATATAGCAAATTAGGCAATGTCTATTTAAGATGTTTCTCCAGCTTTTCGCAGTTAGAAACAGTCCTTTAGTCTTACCAACTTTTAAACAGGTAATATAAGTTAATGATTAAAAAAAAAAACAAACCTATGACAGTGAATAAAGACGGGTAAGCCTTTTTTTGCACAGATTTAATACATTGTAATACTAACAGAAAGCATCTGTCCTACAAAGCCTAAAAGCAGCAATATAAAAAAAAAAATCTTACTCAAGTTTGAGACAATTCCATAAGTCAACATTTTAAAATTGATACAATATATACATCTTTGTCAACATGAAACTTAATGCTGCTGCTCTTCCAAGATTCTCAGAGTTGGGATCAGTTTCTGCTTTTGACTGCACTGACATTAAGGCCCAAGGAAAGATTTTATGATTGCTTCCAAGATTATTTGATCCCCTGATTATCTGACTCACTTCTGCCTTTCATTCTGCAGAGACCAAGAAACTTACCAATAAAGATGGTTCCTGAACTGAAACTGTTCAAACAGCACTGGTAAGAGAGAAGTTGACGATGAAAGTTTTTAAAGCAGATTTAAGATCCCTACATTCAAACTACTGCTACCAAATTGAAAAAAGAAAGCAAGTCCTTGGGAAACCATCCACAGCAAATGAAGACAGAACAATAGAGCAGCAGTACAGAACAGGAAAAAACAGAGCTAAGCTAAAAAACAAAAACAAACAAACAAAAAAAAATAATCAAAAAAAGGACAAGTATAGGAGGCAAAGTCAGATTTAACAGATGACATCTCTACCTTCCCAGTGCTTCTTTCTGCCAGAAGTATACAGATGTGATTTCTTTAACTTCCATTTTTTGACTCAACCCTACCACAGGGTGTCAGGAAGATTGGTTTTTTTCCCAGTATGTGCCACTGTTTTCACAACTTGTGCACAAGTGGAATAACATTTTACCAGAATATATCAGCCATTTACCTGTTCAGCAGCATCAGAAAACAGCACCTCAATCTCATCAAGAACAAGATGGCAAAGTCGACAAAACAAATTGTGACGTTCAAACAGTCTCAGGAAGCTATATGGTGTAGTCACGATTACTTCACCTAAAAGCAGGAAGAATGTTAACAGTAACTTACAACTTGAGAGAATATCAGTAAGATACTATAGGACCTTGTAGTTTTATTAAAAAGGCCACATTTGCTTTTCAAGATGCACCACAAGTTGAGAGGGTTGTGGGGTTTTTTTTTGGTCCTGTTGTTTTTCGTGGGGGGTTTGTAAGTTTGTATTTATTTATTTGCCTATTTAATACAGCGAACACTGAACTCCACTTTACAACTTCTGGTCAACAGTCATTTTTAGTTTGCTTGCATTTTTCTACCCCTGCATGTATTCGAGACCTGAGTGGGTAATACTCAAGAGGTTTTGAAAGAGTGAAATCCATTCCAAATCCTGACCACAGGACCATACAGACTGTGAAGAGAATTAACTCCAACTCTGACAGACCCAGTACCTCTGACCAGCAGTGGATGCTCATAAATCAATGAAGCTATTATAAATCTGGTTCTAAGTCAAGTTAGTCCGTAATTAATCCTTATGCAGCATGATCTTCAGCAAAACCATACCACTAATGTGTTTCAAAGCTGTTATTACTCAAAACTAAGCAAAAAGATGCTGAACATACAGATATTCAAACAGCTTTAATACCATGCAATGCTAAATAGCACTACTAACACTCCATGTAACACTACAGAATTGTATCATTAAAGAAACAGAATTATCACTTTATAAAAAAATAAACTGAAGTATAAATTGCTTCTTTCACAATTTCCTGCAATTAAAGCAGCCCACATTGTTTTTCAAGCATAATTAAGATAGAAAGTATTCTTACAGCCTTGTATTTTCACACTGCTAGCTGCTGCTTTGTTCTGCCCAAGTATTATCAACATCGGATGAAACTGTCTGGAGCATCTCTCGTATGTTTTCAGCAGCTCAAAAACAAGTTGTGCCTTCTTCCACCCAGGACATAAAATAAGTGCTAGTGGCTACATAGATACATATATATAAAATTTTACAGCACAGTATCAGGCAAGAGTTCAGAGTCTGGTTATTTCCAGAGGTCCGTAACAACCTCAGTAATTCTGTTTCTGTGATCTAATACAAGTTAGAAAAATAAATTACAATATTTAGAACAGACAATACAATTTTTTGTTTAATTACTACATACTATCCCCCTAAAAGCAAAGCTTCATTAAGTATCAAAGTGATGTAACATTAACAACTTGTTAGGTATTACTTGATGAGTAAGTTTTAGACTCCCACATTCATGTGGTCCATTTGTGTAAGGCTCTAAGCAAAAGGCTTAAACTGGCAAGCATCACGTAATTACAGACATCACCCAGTAAGTTCCCATTAAATGTATACTTCCTGAACATGCACAACCTTTCAGATCATTATTCTACATGTGCACATCAGAAAACCTGTTACTACTCCAACATATACATACGCCACTCCTGTTTGTAAAGGCTTTGTAGCAACCTTCCAACTGCAGTAAAGTAAGTAGTGGTGGAACATATATGAAAGGATCATTTCCCTGATACGAGATAGCAACTACATCACATCCTCGAGCTACTGAAGGCCAACAGTAAGATTCTGTGAAGTTAGGGCCCAAGAATTTTTTCCGAGTAAGTTCCTATAGGAGAGAAAAATAAGAGTTCCACATGAAAACTGAACACTTAAAACAGTAACAAAACACAACATTTACAATTTAAAAGCTTTTGACCCACAGGATGAAAGTCCTTAACATGCGATATGAAAAAAGTTATTTTGGGTTGAATTAATTATATTGAAATCCAAATCTCACAACTTGTGCCAGTGGCTAATATACCAGAAGAATGTACGTACAATTCTTACAGCATCTGACACTGCAGTTATTCAACCACAAGAACTTCCTAGACATTCCTCTATCAAAATTAGGTATTATTATAATAATCAGTTATCTGAAGTTGGGATGTTATACTAGACTTAAAAGAGATTCAATCTAATATATTACATTAGCATTACCTTTTTGAGCCCATGAAAGAGTGGTGCTGTTTCCAGACTTGATGATGGCTCAATTTTGTTGCTAAGAAAGACTAAGTTTCTTTCTTCACTAAGATTTTTAGAACTCTGGAACCATAACAAAGGCAATACTTAATGAAACTGTTTCAGCTTACATATGACTCAAAAAGCGATTGTGGTATTTAAAAAATGGTATTTTGATGAAAAATAGTCAAACAAACTGTAAATACATTTAAATGACTCTTACATATAGCCAAGTTATAAAGACTGGTGATGAGACAAATATTATTAGTTATTTCTTATAGAAAGATTTATCAAGACTGTCTCAACACAACTGTCTTAAACCACTTAAGAGAATGCACTAGATACTTTGTGTACAACTAGCAGTCAGCTATAACAAAATTAAAATACAATTAAAAAACAATGACTAGTAAAATTTGCTGTAGTGAGTTGCCCTTGCCTGACAGCCAAGGACCCACACAGCCACTTACTCTCTCATTCTCCCCTTCCAGAGGGACGGGGGTGAAAAATAGTAAGAGTGAGCGAGAAGATTCATGGGTCAAAACAGAGACAGGACTGTTACTTAATTACTGATACATGCAAGTAAGACTCAACCTTAGGTTAACTTCATTTGTCATCAATTAATACCCGAGTACTGATTTGGCTATTGGAAAACAAACCCAAAGAAACAAACATTCACAGATTTCAGGAAAACACCTTTCCTCCCCCACTGCCAGCCGTCTGTTTTTGTCAGTGCAGGTTACATCAATCCCACCACTGCAGGAATGAGCACTGCAAGGCTGGGGCTACAGTCATAACATGGCAGTTTCTCCCTGTTGCTCCTTCACTCTCACTTCTTTCCTCCACTCCAGCATGGGGCCTCCACAGACTGCAGTCCCTTCAGCTACACCTACTCTAGCATAGATTCTTCCACCCCTCTGAGCTTGGCACTGCCTCTGCTTCCCACTTTTTTTTTGTTCCCTCCCCTTTATTTTTTGCCCTTAAACATGTTTTCACAGAAGTACCACCAACTTTGCTGGCTGGCTCAGCTTTGGCCTACAGTGGGGTCCTGTCACTGATGCAGCCGGAATTAGCCACTTACCTCTTCCAAAAAGACCACACAAAGACCAGCCCTGCAGCCCCAACAGTACCACAACCTTCCACAGACACACAACACGTCTGCCCAAGAGAAGGTAAATGAAAGTTTAAATTAAAGACCTTGAAATACCTGTTGGTCATCTTCTACTACATGTGTCTTCAGAAGATCAGAATTTAAGCACTGCTGAAGCCTGAGAAAACCATGCGAATACTAAATCCAACATAAATGCAAAAGTAGAATTTATAACTATCACAGATATTTCTAAAATGTGATAAAGCAATTCATTCAAAATATTTTTGATGTAGTACCTATTACAAGAAGGAAAACCCTTGAGCATAAAAGAAGAAACCAGACTAACCATTTACAAAACAGAATTCAGTGTTAGCTTTCAGGCACCTGAAAATAATTCTACAGATATATTTTTTTTTAACCTGAAGGCAAATGGAGGATCCATCAACTTTAAAAGAGAATTAGACTGCACTGTAAAATAGTTTCTTAAAGTTAAAAAAAAAGTGCCATTATAGCTTTGCATCAGTTAGAAATTGCATTAAAAGAAACAGGGTTTGGGTTCATTACATATTCATCAACTGATATGCAGAAGAGGAAAAGCTTTGCACAAATCAATTCATAGTCATATTCCATTAACTTTGAGAACTTTATAAATCACACTAAGAATAAAACAATTTAACATGTTTAGTTTGCAGAAAAATACTTCCCCGTCACATCCTTGTTATCAAAACTATTGTTTAAAAGAACTGCTATTTTTATTGTAGTCTGGATAAAGTACCAGCAGCTTCAAATTTCCTTTGTCCCTAAAAGCATCTAAGATGTGTATGCATCTTCTCTTACCCTCCACCCTTTTAGCTGGCTGAGAATAAACTGAAAATATACTACAGCTCTTAAGTCTTTGATTACATAACCCCTTAAAATACTGAACACACTGCACCATACTTGTCTGTGTGGACTTCCGTATTTTCCTTGAAAGGCAAATCTGGAACTGCTTTGGCAACCTACCAAGAAAAGGCAAACACTTTTGAGTACAAAGTACTGTTCAAAACCAACATTTTAGAAAAAAAAATTCTTTATTGAGTTGAATGTGGTTTGCTTACCCAACTCTAGGATTCTCCAATATTTTGGAGAATTTCTGTACAAATTTTAAGTTTGTCTGAATAAGACAAGATTTTTTATGAAACAAATTTCAGAAAGCTGTCTGTCTTGTTACAGGACAGTATTTTCTTAACTAAGAATCAAACATGCAACAGGAACATCACCCACACAAAAGAAAAATTAGTTCATGGTCATATCTCAAGCTATAGTCATAACTGGGGACCTGAGCTAGTATGAACACACACTGATTACTTATTAAACCTTTTTATTTTTACAACAAAATTAAGAAAAATCATGCAAATCCTACATGCCACAGATGGGAGGAAAAGCAGAAACAGGTTACCCAGTCCACACTTACAAGAACAATGCACATGAACTTAAACTGAACACTACAAATCGTCAAGGGAGTAACCAGTAACAGATACAGGATTCACAATTAGCCTGAAAACGTCTGGTTCTGAACAGGGGATTTTCTACTATTCATCATTAGCTACCAGTCATCAGTGGACAGTATGCGACTTGCTCAAAGACCTGCATCACTCAAGCAGCTGGTAAAGATACCTCAGCTGACTGTTTGCAGGAGGTTATAAAAGTAATCCTGCCCTGCTTCCCTAAGAATCTATACCACTACTTTCCTCATTCTTACAAAAATATTTTAGTAAGATCTACAGTTTAAGTTCAGAAGTGGTTGTCATCCTTCAATTCTCAGCAGAGTTAAAAAGTAACTTCTGCAAAACCCCCCCCCCCAACTGACAGAAGTAGTAGCTCTGTTGCCATAATAAAGCAAACTCCTTTTAAAGCACCTAGAAGAGGAAGACATGGAACAGCACACAGGCTCTTTAGAAGACCTGTGATGGCATACACTCAATAGTGATTATGTGCCTAGAACCTATCAGCTAATTTTCCTCTCCCCCATGGACATTATAATACTTCCAATTGTGCAATTAGGTACACGATGTAACACTCAAAAATGAGTGCTAACCTTTTGAAAGTGTTTCAGAAAAGAACAGCAAACAAAAAGAGAAAATAGCAAGAAACTAGATTAGACATTTAAACTATTACACAAGTCAACAAATAAGACTCCAAAGAATGTTTACCATGGTACAGCATAAGGACTGTTTTGTTTTCAGGGAATCACTGAAATTTACATTTTTATATATTCAGAAAACTCTGTAATGTTGACAAATATCACCTTCAGAAAATTATAGCTAAGGAGTGCAAAAAGCAGCACAAAATTTTCAAGGACTGTAATACACTGTTTTAAAAACTACTGCAATTAAAAAAAAAACACAACCAACCAAAGAACTGTAGTACAACATTCTTTTTCACCTGTATGAAGAATTAGTCCAGTCCCCCAGATCTAAGTTACACAGAAGAACAAGCTAGATGACTAGAGGATTTCTAACCCATCCTATGTGTTTAATTTAGTTCATCTTTTGACAGTTAAATACAAAATACTTACCAGCACAGTATTTAAACCTGGACCTGTTCTTAACCTTTGGTGTATGTCTTCAAGGGAGGAACTGGAAACAGCAAGACCTAGTAAAATAATGCAGATACGCATTTCTGATTATCTGAACAGCCAGCATTTTAGAGTGGGTTACAACTGACTTGTTTAGTTGTTTGTATCATTTCCCAATGGCAAAAGAACCACTAAAAATAGTTATCTTTACGTAAAGATAACTGTGCAGATGAACTGAGTAGACACAAAACCAGAAGATGGAAAGTTGCATACTTGTGAAAAGACAGACTTGAATCACTGTGAGACAACTCACGATAAACACTCATGTTAGAAGCAACCCTCTTCAAATAAATTCCCCAAACTCAAAAAACCCAGTAATGCATCACACCACAAGTAATTTCAGGAATATCCACTTCTATTAAGCATATTAACTAACACCAGTGTAACTTAACCTTGGCCTTCCTTTGACTCAGAGTACAAAAAGCTTTACAGTATTCTTGTATCTGATGAGATCATCTCTGCAAATTTTGATATATAAGCACTGTTCGTCAGCATACCATTGGATCCAGTTGATGGACTCAAACCACGACAGTAGGTCCATGTTCAATACATGCAATTAAAGACACATGATGCAATGCTTCTTTGTTTCCCCACACAAACGGTTCCCACCTGTTCCAAGATTTCCTGGTATCTTCTGAAACAGCTCTGGCCTGAAATCAAGTGTAGGACTAACAATTTTCACTGGAAGACTCTCAGCATTTAATGAGGTTTGATTCTCCTGACAATCTGCAGAAGTCCCTGTATTCTCTTCAGCTTCCTCAAAACAAGCAAAGTTCTTCGAGACAAGATCATCATTAACACATACCTAGAAAACCCAAGATCTTTACTGATCAGCATCAACAAACAATAACCTACACCATCACATACTAGTTCAAAATTTATGCAAAGCTGTAAACAACAGTAGTAAGACATAAGCAGTACCAATGAATGTTTTCTGAAGAATTGTCCTGGGTTCAGCAGTAGCAGTCATTTTTCTCCTTCTCAGTAGCTGGTGCAGTGCTGCGGTTTTAACTTTCAGCTTGGGAACAATGTTGGTAACACTGATGGTTTTAGTTGTTGCTAAGAAATGTTTATTCTGACCAAGGACTTTTTGAGTCTCATGCTCTGCCAGGGAGGAGGGGAAGCCAGGAGGAAGCAGAGGCAGGACACACCTGACCCAAACTAACCAAAAAGGTATTCCATACCACAGCACATCTCCCCAGAAACTGGGAGGAGTTACTTGGAAGGGCCAGATCACTGCTTGGGTCCAGCTGGGTGTCGGTTGGCAGATGGTGAGCAGTTGTATTCTCTCCCCCTGTGTCGTGGTTTAACTCACAGCCAGACAGCTCGTTACCCACTCCCCCCCCTTCTTGCCCTCCCCCTACTCCTAGGGGAACGGAGAGGAGAATGAAAAAGAAATGCAACTCCCACGGGTTGAGATAAGAACAGTTTAGTAACTAAGGTATAACACAAATCACTACTGCTGCCACCAATAATAGTAATGATAAAGGAAATAACAAGGGAAGAGAATACAACACCCCATCACCAGGTGACCGATAACTTGCCCCCCCCAGCCCGATCAAGCAGCGACCCATACCTCCTCCAACCCTGCAGTCCACCCAGTCTTTCCGGCTAACTCCCAGTTACCTCCTGGGCATGACGTGCTGTGGTATGGAATACCTCTTTGGTCAGTTTGGGTCAGGCATCCTGTCTCTGCTTCCTCCCGGCTCCCCTCCTCCCTGGCAGAGCATGAGGCCCACAAAGTCCTTGGCCAAACCAAAACATCATTGTTTTTCAGCTCTGTTCCCAGCTGAAAGTCAAAACACAGCCCTGCACCAGCTACCAAGAAAGAGAAAAATGACTGCCACTGCTAAACCCAGGACACCCTGTTATTTCCCGTATCATTATTATTATTGGTGGTAGCAGTAGTGATTTGTGTTATACCTTAGTTACTGGACTGTTCTTATCTCAACCAGTGGGAGTTACATTCTTTTGATTCTCCTCCCCATCATTCCAGGTGCAGGGGAGGAAGAAGAGGGAGGAGTGAGAGAGCGGCTATGTGGTTCTGAATTACTGGCTGGGCTTAAACCACAACAGTTCTTTGTGCCACCCAACGTGGGGAATGAAGAGTTGAGATAACGACAAATCTGATCAGAGCGTGTCTAATTGTACTTGTGATAGGCATTCACTGTTTCGGGTTAATAATCACTTGTCACAATGCTGATTTATTGGCACTCAGAGTTGTCGTGCTTGATCTCAGAGTTTCAGCATGTTGTACCTTAGCTACAGACAGTATTTCTGGTTTAGTGTTTACCAGCAGGGGGGCCTGGGCTAAGGTTCTTGTTTCACTGTACTTTATGGTAATGACTTGCAATACAACAGACTCATGAAACTGGTCTGTCTTGTGTTCACAGTGTGGTCATCACCTCTGTACTATAGGATGCATATAATGAGAATTTTTAACAATTACACATCTTTCTTTTTCCTTCCCTCAGGGGGTCAACTTATGGAAGAGATACACCCTCACACCCTCTGCTCCCCCACAAGGCTATTTGTAGTAGGAGCTGATTCTGGAAAAATTAAAGATCTTGAATATCCTTTCAATGCCCTTGAAAATATCCTGCTCCTTTGGCGGGAACCAGCTTTTTGCTGCATTTGCTCTCTATGTTTCGCTTACAGCGTGACTACCCGGAGAACACCTGATCTTGTCCAATCTCAGAAGTTTAGCAGGGTATGGCTCGGGTCTTGTCTAGGGTTAAATGACTATTTAAGAATACTATCAAGAGATCTTTCCCAAGACTGGACAGTCATGAGTTGCAGGGTGGAGTTGCAGGGTGTGTGGGATTGTATGGGGAAGCACTTACACCAGTGGGCTCCTCTGGTGCTTTGGAAGCACTGGAGACAGAAGCTAGCTGCATGGAGTCCCTTACGACAAGTTGCAGAAATGCTGAAGGAGACAGTGAATCAAGTCCGTTTGCAGAGGTGAAAGTCATTCAGCTGGCCCTGGGCATTGCTGAATGAGGAAAGTGGACAGTACTGTATTTCTGTACTGACTCATAGATGGTGGAAAATGCCCTATGGCGGTGTTTGCAGCTACAGAAGCAGAGCAACTGGCAACGCAAAGGTTAACCCACCTGGGCTAAACCACAAGAATATTAACTCCAGAATAGGAAAGTCATTCGTATCTTCCTGTACATTCTCCAAACAGGTGTTAATTAGCCATCTTAATTAGCCATCATGCTATTGTCTGAATTAGCGTTTTCTATAATCCTTAAAAAACAAACCAAACCAAACCCCCAAATCCCCCCAACCAACAACCTTTAAGTCAGTCACACTGGTTTATGCCTTTTTGATTCAGTGTGCATCAAATTCTGGCAAAATGAAAAAATACCAAACCTAAAACTTCAACTCCACTGGCTCAGAGATAAGTAACAATTGGGATTCTAAGAGAAGATACTGCCCAGGGAGGTTGTGAATGCTCCATCCCTGGCAGTGTTCAAGTCCAGGCTGGACGAGGCCTTGGGTGATATGGCTTAGAGCGAGGTGTAACTGCCCATGGCAGGGGGGTTGGAACTTGATGATCTTAAGGTCCTTTCCAACCCTAACTATTCTATGATTCTAAAAATTAGTATGTATCTTCAAAGTTAAGACCATGGCTCCAGTGTTAAAAGCCTCTGTAAAGCACTCCAAGTAGAAGCAGTATTAAGATACATTCACTTCTATCTACCATACAGCTGCTTAAGTCTGCCAGTAGCTATAGCACAAGTTACACATTCTGGCAAGCGGAACCAGGCTTGGTTTGATTCCCCCCAACCTGCAAAAGTTTGAGGATTCCATCTTATGCAAAAGCAAGCATGAACTTCTATTTATTTTTACACTACTATACTACTGCCTTATTGAAACATCTTTAAGCATGATACCACAAAAAGTTACAAAAGTACACTAAATAATTCACAAAATGAATTGTCACTTCACATTTGAAGTACTTGCTTGACTCCAACGGCCTGTCAATGCCTTCCAGAAAGAGGTTCACATTAAATAAAATGGAATTTCTGCCTTTTGGAATTCCTCCAGAAGTTTACAAGAAACAGAAGTATAAACCAAAACTCTTAAAAAGTTATGATGTAGCTTCTACTGTACCTGACAGAAATTACAAAACTCACTTGTAAATAATGCCTTTCAGTCTTAAACGTTAAAGTCACAACTCACATAGCAAATTGTATGAATAGGTTTGTAGATAAATAAGTATTTTACCTTTTCGTCTTTTATCGTCACATAAAGGAAAACATCAAATGTGTTATCTTCTATGGCACACAACTTGGCTTTCATATGGGTAGAGGCTAAATACAGTAATAAACACAAGAACAAGTAAAAAGATTAAACCCTAATTAAATCAGCAGTATGTTTCACTTGTACTTCCCAAGATAGACAAAAACAGAAACCACAATTAAATGTGTAACCTATTTCTTTAGAGATGCTAGCACAAACATTGTAACTTTTAAATGAAAAAATAAAGAAACACAGCAGTAAAAGATTAAGAATACAAAAATTAAGTTTGCCTTAGTCTTTTGACGAAAGACTGAGACAATACAGATTAATGACCTCTCCACAAGCTAGACTTGGTTCTGCACTAAATGTCTTAGTTTTAGACCCTATCTGTAGTAAAAATAAATACTTTCCAAACTTGACATTTAGTTTTCTTGAAAGCAGTTATATTTGCACCATTTTACAGCTTGGCTAGACTCTTTGTTCAAGCAAACAAAGTTGATAAAATTATGTTTGTAAATTCTGAAGCACTTCTGCATACAATAATGATGTGCTAGCAATTAGAAAAATATATGCATTACTACTTATGATATAGTCTGGGAATACTGATGAAGTTATTGCTCCCTACTAACCTTTACTTTGCACAGTCACACTTAAATGAGAGAAGTAAACAGCAAGAATTGCTCTGTCTCAGTTAGCTTGTGAAATTATCAGCCTAAAGATCCTCTGCTGCTTTCATAAACTCATCCTCTCCTTCCCAAATACATTTTACGTGGAATTTGTTCTACTTGTGAGTAAGCAGATAGTTTTTCAGGTCAAAGCATATGAGCAGAACAGAGGGTTTTGTATGAAGAAGACTGGGAAACCTACTGAAACACCAAACATGGGGACAAGAATAGACAGGAGAAAAAAGCAGTTCTAGCTTACTAAGTAACTAGTTGAGCTTCATCTATTTGCTAACAACGTAACAGATGCTCCTTTTCTGAGTTGGTGCTTGCCTCCTTATCAAAAAAAAACCCGAATGCATAAACTCCTAAAACAGATCTTGCCATGTCTGTACAAAACTCCCACTATGATGCCGAGTCAATGATTTATGCTTAATACACAGAAATGCTCCACTGTTCAAAACAGATGTTGCATGAGTGCTATGTGCTATGTTATCTAGCTTATCCAAGAGCCAGATATCATCTGATCAGCTATCAAAATTTACACAGCGTGGAAGCCCACAGTACTCAAGACACGGCTCAAGTATTTTTGCCTTTTTCAGTCCATCCAAAAATCTGTACGTAACTGCTCTTTTTAATGCACATTTTTACATATAATAAAATGTATAAGCACAAGTACTACATTTCTCTAACAGTTTGTTTTTCCAAAAATAGTGCCAATTATGATTTTGGCAGGTCTTATTTACCTTTGAGAAGGTTCTGAAAATACCATGTAGCAGCAATATCCCATCGTTTGGCTGGTCTAGGAAAACAAACACAACCAGTTATCCCACATCATAAAAAATTAAAATGGCAGTTTTGGGGAAAAAAAAAATAAAAGGCAAACTAACTTTGGAAGTAGGTAAAGAAATTATTCCAAGCCACACCAGATCTTAAGAAGCACATCAAATAGACATATCATCAGACTCTTCCTACTTAGAAGCACATCAAATAGACATATCATCAGACTCTTCCTACTTAGAATCTATCTTTAGTCTTGATAATATTTTTTCAGCTCACCAATAAAATGAGCTGACGTTACTGGATATTGCTTTGTCAAGGTATGATGGCTTATGTAAAATATGGTTACAAATGAAACAGAATAACCCAAAAGAAAGGAAGAATCCACTTCTGTAAAGCATTAATAGATACTGAGCAATTCTGAACAAGCACTTAAATACTGAAGTGCTGAAGACTGAAAAGTCTGTAGCAGAAAATCAGGTTCACTCTTCACCATTTTCTGCAGCTTTAAAAAAGAGAATTAAATGAACAGCACTGTGAACAAAATGTGTCTATTTACTGCTTTTTCTGGTAATTCCCAATGATGGCCCATTGAAGACATACGTTGTTTCTATGCAAACCTGGCTAGTATTTGTTTTGTCAGAATACAGGAAGTCAGATACTAATTTCTTCCTCCAAACAAGAGTATTAAAAAAAGCAAACCAACAAAAACCTGCATGACTACATGTTGTTTTGAGTATTCTTTAGTAACACAAATTAAAGCAGCTTTCTTGCTGCAGAGCTGTATTTCTCTGTGATCTAATCATGTCCATCTCAAGTTGGCAGGATCTTTGACAACAGCACCCTGTAACTCAAGGATACAAAAACATTTTTCTTTACCACCAGACTCCAGTGAAAACTCCCCTCTCCCCCCCCCCCCCCGCAGCTTTGAAGGACTATAGTACTAACATGAATATAAAAAAAGCACAACAGGAATCCAAAATATGTTCAGAAAAAAAAAACAATAGGAAAAACTAAAGCTACTTATATACAGGTATAGAACTTTACTTCAGGTACATGTAACTACCACACACACAAGAGAAGGAGTATCAGGAGTAAGATGAACATCTGTACAGAACAATACGTAAGGATAGATTAGATTACTAAGTAGGTTTCAGAAACTTGTATGAACTTCCACAGGTTTCTAAATAAATACCAAAACAGGTGAACGATAAACCCCAAATCATTAAGGAAGAATTGTTAAAGAAGCAGTTCTGTTTAAAGAAACAGCAAGAAAGATTTAGAAAACTGGTTCTATGTTCTTCCTGAAATATTACAAAACCCCCCCCAAAACAACAAATCAACTTCACACTTAAGGTATCTAAGAACACAATGTAATCATTAAATTCTACTTACACCATTTTTGCAGTCCCTTCACACAAGTCGATACGCAGTGTCACTGGCCTTGTGCGATACAGTCTACACTTCTTTGCTCTATATGGGAGCTGCATAAATGGTTCCATAGCAACTCGAATGCTTAAAACAGAAGTGGACATAATCTCATTTACAGAGTAGATTTTACTCTCCAGAAGTCACTGTCTCTTATCCACCTTTCTAATATACACACTCATTTTCATTTGTGCTCACTTTCATAAAGAATTTGTTCTTTATAAAGAGACACCGGAACAGGTTGCCCAAGGATGTTGTGAATGCTCCATCCCTGGCAGTGTTCCAGGCCAGGCTTGATGGAGTCTTGTGTGACATGGTCTAGTATGAGGTGTCCCTGCCCGTGACAGGGGGGTCAGAACTAGATGATCTTAAGGCCCTTTCCAACCCTAACTATTCTATGTTTCTACATCAATCTCACCCCTTACACTTAGTCTGGCTGGAGACATTTAATAACCAGCAAGCCACCATATATAGTGATCCATATAAAATTATAAAAAATGAACAAACAAAAATATCGTCAGACTTACACTTTTGTGTGTAACATTTTTTTCTTCTCTATAATGAAAAAGCAGCAAGTATCACATTAACTTCTAGTTCAACATATTTTAAACTCATGGCATTAAACTTCAGATTTAGTTTAAAATACTTTAAATAATCATTCTTAATTTTGTAGACTGCTACAGGAAAACTTTTGGTAAAGCTTTTTTACTCAAAATTGTGTATTTTTTTCAGGAAATGAGCTCTAAATCTAGCCAAAAGCTGGAATAGTTACTTTATAGAACACATTTTTTAAGGTTTTAGGAAAAGCTAGTTTCACAGTGGTTTTGTTAAAAACATGGAGCTTGCAAAAACTCAACTTTTTTTCACCACGACAAGACAGTCGGTCATATCTTAATAAACAAGTTATAAAACCCATGTACTTTTTTCTAGATCAAAAACTGGTTAGGCTACATATAACCATTTTACAAGGGAGGAAAGTATACATAGCTAATGTTAACTAGCAAACATACATTTCAGTTATAACAAGCTGACATTATTTCTATTTCAAATCTTAAAAAAAAAAAAAATCAAAACCCTACAATAGAAATCATCTTTACAAATTCAGAAAACAAAGCCTGGCTTGCATCTACACTTGCAAGGGCCTATCATACTGTGAGTAGTTTCTTGAGGACCCAACCAACACTTAAATCAAAGCCTTGTCACTATCAATCTAAATAAATACTACCTGTACGCATTAACTAATAAAAGTATTTCAGTCACAGTGTAAAAAACCCCAAACACTTACTCCTTTGATTTAATAAAAATGTATTTTGCATAATCCACAAGGAAACATTCCGCTTGATAATGATCTGTACAGTACATGACCGACTTAATAACTGCTCTACACCAACATCTGAGCTCCTCACAGAAAACCACACAAACCTAAGAAAGAACAAAACAACAGGTTCTTGTAAATGGAGAAAAATTACACTCAAAAGGTTCCTTTTAGAGGCAAGAATATAGTATTTATTATATAGCACTCAATTTTGTTTTTAAAATGCAAGCATCATGGCTTACGTAACTTTGGAGTTTACTGGTAAGAAGATATAACCCATAGAAATGCCATTACCTACTGTTCTATATAGCAATATTTAAGACGATTAATGTGTGTCTTAGATACCTCATACCCAGATCAACGTAAGCAACAAATTATTCTACCGGCACAATATAGCAACAATTTTACCTGGCCTTCTGCCACTGTTACTGGCTTTACTTCATGTGCATCTTTGTAAGATTTGTCATAGAACTGATTCATTTCATCATTCAGTTTTTTATATGCCACTTCATCAACTACAAAAGGCCCACATTCTTTCATAGTAACCCAAAAGCAACCTGGATCTTCAACCTAGGGCAAGGAGTAGATAACAAGTATAATTAGCTCCTGCTACAACAGTAAGATGTTTTTAAGAATCTCTTATCAGCAAATGTAAAAATAAAATTTAAAATCTTTAGTGAGGCATCTTAAAAATTATTGTTAACAGATACTTGGCATACAGGCAAAAATATCTTTCAACTTCAGACCATTAGTTCATTAAATGACTTCTTAGCTACCAAGTGTCTTTAGCACTGGAATTAAGAGTCTAGCAGTAGCATTACCTAAGAAGCTGAATAAACCAAGCAGTGGGTAAAATGCAAACACATAATGTGTTTTATTTCCATATTGTATGCAAGAAGTATGTTTAAAAAACACAAAACACACCTCAAACCTCACCAGTGGACTCTTCTTCATGCTCAGAGAGTCTAAAAGGCAGATTTTTTAAAACCAGGTCATAGCTTTCTGCTCAGCCTTTGTCAACCTTCATATCCCAGTCTTTCAGCTAATCTAGGTTAATCCTAATAGGCAGCTAAACACCACACAGCTACTCCCTCACTTCCCTGCAGTGTGATGTCTGAGAAAATTGGAAGGGTAAAAGTGAGAAAATTTATGGGCTTATATAAACCCAGATGAATAGGTAAAGCAAAAGCTGCAGATGCAAGCGAAGGAAAATAAGGAATGAATTCATTATTTCCTATTGGCAAGCAAATGTTTAGCCATTTTCAGGAAAACAGGGCATCATCACACATAATGCTGACTTAGGAAAACAAATTTGATAACCACAGACCCCACCCTTTCCTTGTGCTTCCCATGGCTTTTATTGCTAAGAATGACATCATACAGTATTCCTTGGGTCAGCTGTCCTGGATGTAGTCTGGGAAAATTTTTCCATGCTCTTCTGTGGAATTCAGTAAAATCTAGTACTGTATTACGCTTCACCTAAAATCATGCTGCACATCTTCCATTTTAGGTTTCAGCTGTATCCCTACCACCCTCCTCTGAGATGAGACCAACATAAACACCCAGAAGAAATGGCAAAAAAACCCAACATATATTCCACATACAACCCCACAAACGTAGAAAGTGCTGCTGAAGGGAAATACAGAGGCATTATCTTACTTGTAAATCTGGCTTCTATAGAACTATGCTGAAATAAGCAAACAGCAATTCTTTACACTTTAAAAATTGCCAGCATACCTTTAATGCAAAGACTTCCATGTTTTTCAGATAAGTTTTTCTCCAAGCTACTGTAAAAAAATCACACGTTTAATCAACCATTTTAAAGACATCATTTGTTTTGAAGCTTATCTACAGAGCACACACCTAAAGCGAGGCTATGTATTTTTGCTACTTGTCCCCAGACATACTACATAAAAAGCAATACTTCTATGTTGTGGTCATAACAAGCAATATGCTTTGCTAATAGATGGCACTAGTTATTCTCAGCATGACACTACAATGTAAGAATTAAAACTATACTTAAGAACCTTTGTATCACATGTTAAAAGCATACCCTCCAGGTTTCACCTAAGTCTGTAAGCCTGAACTATACCATGAGATACATAGTGCTGCCTTAAGCAATTAAAAAATAAATGCTTTCATTTCAGGAATAACATGTAAGAAGAATAAATAACCTCTCCTGATCTCTCTGAGAAATACGAAACCATTAAATGACCTACAGAATCCCAGACTGGTTTGGGCTGGAAGGGACCTTAAAGCTCATCCAATTCCAACCCCCTTCCATGGTCAGGGACACCTTCCACTTGACCAAGTTGCTCTAAGCTCCCACCAAGCTGGCCTTGCACACTGCTGTTGTGGTTTAACCCCAGCCAGACAACTTCTGCACTCACTCCCAGTGAGTGGTGCCAGGCTGGAAGCAATCGAGGCCCACGATCCTCCCCCCCTCCCCAGGGGCTGCCCCCCCTTCCCCGCTCCCAGAGGGATGGGGAGGAGAATCGAAAGAATGCAACTCCCACGGGCTGAGATAAGAACAGTCTAGCAACCAATGTACAACACAAATCACCACCGCTACCACCACTAACAACGATAAGAGATAATAGCAAGGGAAAAAAGAGTACAATGCCACGTGCCGAACGAGTCTGACCCGGCAGACCCCCTGTCCTTCTGGGTAACCCCAGTTACATCCTGGGCATGATGTGCTGTGGTACAGAATACCTCTTTGGTCAGTTTGAGTCAGGTGTCCTGTCCCTGCTTCCTCCCAGCTTCCCTCCTCCCTGGCAGAGCATGGGGCCCACAAAGTCCTTGGCCAAACCAAACCATCATTTTTTTCAGTTCTGTTCCCAGCCCAAAAGTCAAAACACAGCACTGCACCAGCTACCAAGAAAGAGAAAAAATGACTGCTACTGCTAAACCCAGGACATTATCCACCCCTTATTCCATACCATTCACGTCATGCTCAGATCCCACATTTTCAATATACCATCACTCTTATCTAAGTACACTCTTATCTTAGTGCATGGACCAGTCCCTATAAGGCTGCTGAGTCTGTCTGGTCCATGAATGTCAGGCTCCATCTCTTGTAACACTCTTCCAGAGCAGGAGAGACTGTGTGCAGTGTTCACACTTGTGAATAACCTGGGCAATAGTGTCCATTGCTAAGTCCACCCCTTGATCATGAGTCCCTCTCTATGTTGCATCTCTGCTCTGATGGCCTTAAGGGTCATGGGCCCACCAGGCTCAAAATAATTCACTGTCCCCTCCAGCAGTTTCTGCAGCTTGTTGCTGGGGGCTCCATACAGCTGCCTTCCATCTCCAATGTTTCCAAAGCACTGGAGGGGCGCAGTGGATTAGATACTTGCCCGTACTGTCCCACATGCTCTGCCACTCATGATTGTCCAGCCTTGGGGGAAACCTCTTGGTCCTCCCATATCGTCGTCTAACCCCAGACAAGACCCAGACCTGACTCTGCTTAACTTTTGAGATTAGACACAATGGTGGTGGGTAAAACACACTCTGTGTGTGTGCCAACATGGTGAACACCATCACAGTCAGCAGGCAGGTCCCAAGGATACCCAAAGGCAATTCAAAACCTTCAGAACTCTCAAGCAATGCTGCTGTACTTGTCACTAGGGCTGGTGTAGCTGCTGTGCTTGCCGGCTCTCCCACTACCAGCTTCTCTTTTCCTGAGTCCAGCTCTTCCTCCTCTGCCTTGCTGGGAAATGCTGCGGGGTCTCCTGCGTCCTCCTGGGGCTCAGCGGGCGGCTTCCAGGGAATGCTCTCGGCTGCTGCAGGGCAGGGCTCAGCCACGGGGCTCGGCTCCTCTGCGGGGCTCAGCTCCTCCGTCGCCTTCACCTGCTGCTTGGCAGCCGCCTCCTTCCGCTCCTCGACCACCCCGACCTCCTCCACCGGCAGCTGTTCCCTGCCGGCCTCCGGTCCCTCTCCCGCTTGGTCCCTGGGGCCGCTCTTTTGGGCCGCTTCAGCAGCTGCCGGCTCCCAGGGCTGCTCCCCCTCGGCTTCCCAGAGCCTCACGCAGACGGAGGCAAGGGCGAGGGCCAGGGCCAGGACCGTGAGGAGCAGCCGGACAGCCAGGTACCAGTCCATGGCTACGTCCGTCCCGCCCTGCTGCTGGAGCCCACCCGTATTGCAAATCATTGCCATAAAGTACATTGAGACAGGAACCCTAGCCCAAGCCCCACACTTGATAAACACTAACACAGCAAATACCGGCTCTAAGTAAATTACAACACTCTGAAGCTGTGAGATGAAGAGGAACAACTCTGAGAGCCAATAAATCAGCATTGTGACGAGTGACTATTAATCCAGTCAGATCTGTCGTTACCTCAACCCCTTCGAGCCCCATGTTGGGCGCCAAAAAGAACTGTCGTGGTTTAACCCCAGCCAGACAACTTGTGCACTCACTCCCAGTGAGTGGTGCCAGGCTGGAAACAATCGAGGCCCACAGTCCCCACCCCCTCCCCAGGGGCTGCCCCCCCTTCCCCGCTCCCAGAGGGATGGGGAGGAGAATCGAAAGAATGCAACTCCCACGGGCTGAGATAAGAACAGTCTAGCAACCAATGTACAACACAAATCACCACTGCTACCACCACTAACAACGATAAGAGATAATAGCAAGGGAAAAAAAGAGTACAATACCACGTGCCGAACGAGTCCGACCTGGCAGACCCCCTGTCCTTCCGGGTAACCCCAGTTACATCCTGGGCATGATGTGCTGTGGTATGGAATACCTCTTTGGTCAGTTTGAGTCAGGTGTCCTGTCCCTGCTTCCTCCCGGCTTCCCTCCTCCCTGGCAGAGCATGAGGCCCACAACGTCCTTGGCCAAAGCAAAACATCATTTTTTTCCGCTCTGTTCCCAGCCCGAAAGTCAAAACACAGCACTGCACCAGCTACCAAGAAGGAGAAAAAATGACTGCTGCTGCTAAACCCAGGACAACTGCCAGGGATGGGGCAGCCACAGCTTCTCTGGGAACCGGTGCCAGCGCCTCAGCACCTTCACAGTAAAAAATTTCTTCCTAATGTCTAGTGTAAATAGACATAGAGATAACACACATATTAAGTTATCTGATATTACTAGAATTACGTATCAGTCACTTAAAGGAGTGATACTACATTTCTACCCACTTAAATTTTAAAGTCATAACTCATTAAATTAATTGAGCAAAATAACTGGTAGGCCCTGAAATAAGAGCTCAAGAAGTGCTGCAGGCAAACATTACCAGGTTAAAGAACTACATAAATAGTTTGAACATAAAAGCATCAAGGATAAAGCACACCCATGTAAAAGGCTGGCTCTCCTAACACATTCATTACTAACACATTACGTAGTTCTTACTTTTTAGTAAGAACTGAGTATTGACAAACGTTTACTCAAGTCCCCTACCTAATACTATTTACCTTATAAAGAAGCATACAAGAGGGCACTAACCCTCTCACCTCAAACTGCTGCTTTAAGACGTACTGGATGGGAAAAGATTGCCTCTGGTCAACATATGGCTGGCCCACACACACCTAGAAAAATCAACTTGCTACCCCAATCTCCTTTCCTCTAGTCGGCTTTTACTTAAAAGGCCCACATATCACAAGCACAGCACAAAGAAGAGTTCAGTAAAATGTGGAACGCTACTAAGAACCTGTACTTTTTGCTATGCTTCCTCCCTCCCCCAAGCTTCCTTCATATTCTGCTTTAGTTTCACGCTCTGCCCCCCCATAAAAATAACCCGCTAACCTTAAGCCACCAGAGCCACCAGAACTCACAAGCACTCTCTCTTCATTCGCCCCCGAGGCTTCCAGAAATCGCCGCTCCCGCGTTCGCAAACCAGCCATAAGCGGGCGGTGAGGAGGGGCCGGAGGGGGCTGGCGGTAGCGGTGAGGTGGGGTTTTTTTCACGTGCTTCAGCGTGTTGTTGTGATAAACGAGCTTTAACCGACAAGCTTACTACTAGTTCTGCTGCGGGCTTGAGGGGGTGAGACTGGCTGAGCTGGTGCCCGAGGAGGGCACGGGAGCTGCACGGGAGCTGCGCGGGAATATGGCGGACCAGCGGGCTGAGGGTGCTTCTGAGGTGGGGTCCCGTCCGGCAGCATGTTAAGCGGTGGTAGCCGGGGCTGCTGTGATACGTGTGTTACCAGGGGAAGCAGACTGTAGTGGAGCATGTTCTTCAAAGGTGTGTAAAAATAGGTAGATGGGGTAAAAAAAACCCGTGGTAGTGCCATATTGGAGTTTAGCTGTGCTACTCAAATACGTGCGTTTCCACAACAGAAGTTTAACTCCTATTTCGGGCTTAAGGGAAATGCTTAGTCTCTATCTCAAGTTCAGTTGTAAAGCATTTCCATTCAGGCTTAAAATAGAGTGGTTTAGGCCTGACTTAATATTGCACAAGGGGGCATGGACAGGGTGCTGGCCCAAGGGAAGGGGATGAAACGTACAGTTACGACGTGAAGCCCCACACCTCTTTGGGCAGAAGCCCATGCTTAAGATGGCCTCAGTATTCTGGAACTACAGCTTTAATATTTTTAACTCAATATTACTGAATACTTATTATTCGCTGTATGTATATAGGCTTAGAAGCCTTTCAGGGTTGCATTTAAGTTTCATCATAACTTTCTGTCTAAAATAGTGTATATATGTGTGTATATATATATATTTTTTTCTATATACTTTTTCCTCCAACTCTTGTCTCGTGGCCTTCGAGCGCCCCCTCCTGGACCATTTTGCTTTTGTTGGTGGAAAAGAAAAAGTTACGGGCG